GCTTTTTTGAAAATAGTTCTATATAGCACCAAAAAGCGTTCATCTACTGTAACAAGCCTGACGTCATAACAATAGAAGAACACTTTTGGTTCTATATAGAACCATTCTCTTTACTAAAGAACCCTTGAACAGTGTGTAGGGAACATAACTGTACCATAATCCATTAAAATTATATTTTCTAAGTTCTACTGACTCCACACACCCCGTCTCGACTTTTTATTTTACTGTTCTGTTTTAAAACTTTTAAGCCGTGAAAAGGTGCAAATATGTACTTTTCCTCTGAGAAAAGTTGTTTAAAGTTCACAATTGGACTTTTACTGTACCTTTGAGGGAACGTTTACACTGTATAGGCATCTCAAAGCTTTGCGACAAAGTATTAATGTTATTAATTTGTGGTGTCTGAATCCTTTTTCCCCATCAATTTAAAGTCAAAAGACACTGGGCCTCACTCTCCAACACCTTTCTAAGTGTGTTCTTAAGTGTGGTCTTGAGAAAGGTCCTAAGAAAAGGTCTAAGTCAGGTTCATGATTCTCACCTTTGTGCTCTTGAGTGTGTGTAGATTCTGTTCTTACCTAAGAACAAATCCCACATAAGAGAACATCGGTGAGTCAGAGTCGTCAGAACTGCGTAAAGTGGGTTTAAGAAGAAATTTCTTCTTAAGAGCGGTTGATGAATGAGGCCCAATGTTTGTGAATCTGAAGTGGACATTTGCACCAGAAGCGTATTAAATGACAAAAACAAAAGTGTTCGGATGCTTGTTTCCCCCACTGTGAACAAATTTTTGCCCAAAATGTCCTGTACGCCTGTCAGGTTCTAAACTCTCGATAAATAAAAAGACGAGCGTTCGCAGCCATGTTAGTGTCTCGGGTTAAATATGCCCATTAGAACTCTGCACAAAGACGCCGGGGTCACTCTGGTCCTGGTTGAAACATAAACAGCAGGTCCAGCTCTTTTTACAGTAGCCCTGCCAACAGCAGGTTTGCTGCAGAAGCATGTGGGCGACCGAGAGAGAGAGAGAGACTCAGGAATGCGAGTGCAGGTGTTTTTCCCGACTTTCAGGACATTTAATGCCTCTTTAACGAGAGCTTCATTCAGTGGAGCTCAGTAGCTCGAACCGGCGTAAAGAATGGCTCTCTTTCTTTCCCTCCGCCTTATCTGCCTGTGAATGAGTGCATGTGTCTTCTTCACTAGCGCTGCTGCAGCCGCTGGACCTTTAGACTCTGGCTCACCAGTGGGGAACTGTGACTGTTAGAGCTGCGCCTTCAGTTCAGGCCATAAATATCAAAACTCGAGTCAAAAAAGGCGAAATAAACACCTGTAATTCAAAGCTAATTTCTGCTAGCGTCAATATGGGATTTTAGTAGTATGTTAGCACTAAGCTAGCAGTGATTCACATGAACATTTTCTGGCCATTCTAGATTAATACAGGCATTTGGAGCTTGAAAAAGACATGTTTTATTGGAACGTCATGTTTTATCATATCTGAGCTTGTATGCAGTGTTACAGTGACTCTTACAGTAAAGAGTTCTGACACAGAGCTGCCGCCGCTGTTTTCCATTCCTGACAACTAACCACAGCTCATATTCACACCCAGTGACATATCTAGAACCTCCAGAATTTTGGCATTGGTCCTACTGTAAAGCAAAACTAAATTCTTGATTGTTTGAGCTCCTTATGATGTTGGTAGGTAATCTAATGTGTAAGGCCTTCAGTCCGGCTCCTGAAGTCCTAACCAATGAGAGAGCTGGACTTAGCTGTAGATACCCTGGAGAAAACGATCCTGATTGTTTGATTTTTGTAATAATAATGAACAAAAATATTACAGACATATTTTTTTTTATTTCACAGAAATGATCAGGGCTTCTCTGAAGGCCTACAAGGTCCTGAGGGCTCCTTACTGTAGCTCACCAACAGGGTAAGTGAAATTTTAAGGGGCGTTTAGGTGACGTGAATGCTAACATTTGGGCTGGGCAATAAGACATTATATGTCATTATTGTGATAAATTATGTCAAAATGCAATACAGTATGTTTTTCTGATCATATTGCGCGAATCGTCCGTGCTTGTAGTCACTGACTAAATGCATGTTTTGTTATAAAGAGAGCAAAATTAGTCCAGTTTAACTGGATTTAGTGACAAATACTGAATATAAATCCCAGTTTTTTTATGTAGCACTACTAGTTCTTTTTTTCTCTGTTCCAACTCTCTCTCTGCTCTCTCACTCTTTGATGAACTTCATTAAATTAAGTGGTGACCAATCAAATTATTGATATGCGGTGCGTCCACAGTCATGCGGTGAGATTTAACACTTGAAAGTACACAGAGCGGGAAATATAACGGTTAATAACATGTTATTATTACATTAAATGATTTTGTTTAAAAACAGTACTAGGCTGCTTTGATGGGCCCAAAGCACCTGTTGTCGAGAAAATTGATCCAGAATGCTGTAATGAGTTTTTACTAAGCTCAAATTATTAAAAAATCTGGTTCTCTGTATTATTATAATAGTCTTTAACAGTTTAGCTGCAGCACCCTCAGCGCCCCCACCTCCCTCGTCCATGCTCTCCAAGGTCAGTCTGAAAAGGATGACAGGAGAATTTCTCTTTGCTTCCGAAGAACAATGACCAGCCAGTATCCACAGTCCAGGAATTCCACTTATTCAGAGACAGGGTGGCATAGTTACACTCTTAGTCACAAACACCTCATAGTCACATACCGGCTTGCGCTATTAAAACGAACACACTGCACATTTTACTTACTTATTTTTTCCCTAAAGTCGACTTTTATGATGATTATTTTGCGTTATGTACCAAAAACAGTCGTAATTCATTTCTACATGGACATTAATTACATTTATTCATTACTTAGAATTAAACAGACCAATCTTGTTACTATACCTTTGATACTGATACATGTAAATGAGTTCTGTTGTGATTGGCTCTCCTGCTTGTGCATCCCTAAAAAACAATATGGGCCGAAACACTCCTCATAACTTCAATATGGGTGTGGCTGAACTGCTGCAGGCTGAATAGGTGGGCATAATGTGAGTAAATGGATTTTGTGACATCACAGAAACAATGAATTCAGTTTAGTTTCTATTCATAGGCTCTATGGACTCCAGAGTGATCACTACACAATGTTTACACGCAACTTGAATTTCAAACAAGAGATAATAATGTGGTTTTCATGACCCGTTAACTATGTGTGATTTGTATCTGAGACAAAGGTTTAACGTCTGATCTTTACTACAGAGTCGTTGTGCATCTGATGAACTCTCTCGGTACTGTGGTTTGGGTTTTTACAGCTACAGTACTGCAGATGGGCCAACATCCTTTTTCCTCTTCCATCCACTTCAAACATATTTTAAAGGTCTATAAAAGCCCTTTGAAACAGTGACAAGTGAAACAGTCTGAAGATTCCTGGAGTCCAAGTTATACAGGAAAAGTTGCTACGACTCTACAGCACAGTTTCAGAGGTGCCCCACAAAAACATCTGGTCAAACACTTCAGCTTTTTGGATAATTCATATTTAAAACCACATTTTAAAAAAAAAATCATGCTCAATGTTAGTAGTTGCCAGTTCCTGACCAGCTGATGCTCTTGCAGTGTTGTAGGGCAACTTAACATGGATGGATGCCCTAATAATAGGCATTATAAACACACACAAACACATTTTCTAAACCACATTTCCTTCTTGGTCGCTGGGGGAGCTGGAGCCCATCCCAGCGGTCATTGGGCGGAAGACAGGATACACCCTGGAACGGTCACCAGTATAAACAAAAATCAAACAAACAAATGCTACTCACTGCCGCCACACACGCATATCAAATGATGTAACCATCACTGCACACAGACTTCCATGCGGCATGGATGTTAAGCAAAACATCCACTAGAGGGCAGTCAATCAGCGGCAGTATCAAACATCAAATAAACAAATGTCACTCTCTGCTGCCCTCTAAAGGCATCATTAACAAACATCAGATAAACAAATGTTACTCACTGCTGACACGCAGGCCCAACTAGCAGGCTGCTATGCAAAAGACTAAATCAAAGCTAAAGGCTACCATTACGCCAAGAGTCTGACCAGTGCAACACTAGTACCTGCTCATTCAAGCTTCATGCTTTGTCATGTGGAGTGCCTCAGAGCTCCATCTTGGGGCCAATACTATATAATCTCTATGCGCTTACATTAGTCAGGATGTCCCAAACTCCTGACAAGGTCTATCTGCTTCTTATTTGACTGCTTAAAGGACATCAATTCCTGGAGCTGTCAGGTGTCAATTATAAAAACAGCTTCGTCCCCGCTCTGAGCTCGGGCCCTGCCTTCCTGCCGGCTCTGGCGGCCGCCATCGGGGCCCGGTGGACAGGCGCACACCACATACACATTTTCCTGCAAGAGCTCTCAGATCAACAAAACAAAACAAGTTGTGCTGAAGTAGCCTTTTATTATGATGGAACCAAATTTTGGAATTCTTTCGATCTGAAGAAACTCGAGACACAAATGTTTTGTTTAGCGTTAAATTGATTTCATTATTCTTTGAACTCTATTATATATTGCATTCTAGAGCTGCTCAATATGACAAAAATGTTATACTGCGATACTTCAAGACATTTTCACGATGCACGATATGTCACAACACCTATTATTTCAGACATCTGATCAGCTGGAACAGAGAAAAAAGAATCAGCAGTGCTTGATTTTAAAAAATTCTATCAACACTGTGAACACAATCATTTTCATCCAGTATTTGTCACTAAATCCAGTTGAACAGGACTAATCTTGTTCTTTTTATAATGAAACAGGTCAGTGGTCAGTGTTGGTCAATGTACTGACGATATCCATGATATGTTCAGAACAGCTTCCTGTATTATATTATGACATAATTTATCACTCAAAGAGATTAAAAAAGTCCCTCATATTATGTCTTAAATTTGATCTATAAAAGTTCTTCTAAAACTTTATGCTTAACGCTGTGTTGAATCTGCTGATGACAGTACAGACCTTTACAGACCGCACTGACCCCACTCCAGCTGCCGTTCTCCTGGCACACGCGGGTTCCTGGTCCCACCAGATGATAGCCTGGAGAACACGCAAAGTGCACCTCATGTCCCACCAGATATTTGGAGCCAAACTTCCTCCCGTGGGCTGGAGCTTCCAGAGCAGGACAGGAGGACGAGGCTAGAGAGAGAGAGAGAGAGAAAGAGAGGGATGAGAGAGGAATAGATGTACACCAAAAACAGCCAGGCTGGGAGAAGAGAGGCGTGCTTTGGCCATTTTTTCACTGCAGAATGAAAACATGCCCTTGAAAGTGAGTGTTTAAATGAGAAAGTGGGAGAATGCATCATTCAGGGGAAACACTTCAGCGAAAAATCCAATTCAAACAGTTCTACCTTTTCCCCAAATGGTGATCAGCCTTGAGACGTTTGCCTTCTAAAGTTTGCTTCTTTAGTTTTAGGTCTAGATCCAGTCAACAAAACCTGTCTGGCGCTTGTGTTTGTTCTGGCCCAGTATACGGCTGGATCCTCAGCCCAGATCTGTCCCAAACACTGCAAAGTAAGTAAAACAAATGGATGTGGCCCAAATCTGGCCCAAATACATTGCTGGTCCACACTATTCATGCCAGAAATGGTCCACAAATATAGACACGAAGCAAAACCATGTGAAGCGGTCCAGGATCTGGCCCTGTTCTGGCCCACATGCCCAACACCTGCCTGGTAGTCAACCAATACCTGCATAGCAAAGCCAGAATCAACCCAGAACTGTCTGCTGCCTGCGCAGCCATGAGGCTAATGTAGCTAACCATTAATAATTCAGTATAAATCAGTATGAAAAAGGCTTCACAAATACATTTCGTCCAGCAACTTTGATAAACGGAGCGTCTACAATCCGTTCAAATCGTATTAACAGAATAAGAACTTAAATAAAACAAACCTCGGAGTAAATAAACAAACAAATTAAACAAAATAGGAGACACATGGCATTAATATTCACAATACAAATGTAATAATGAGCACAGTTTAAGGGCATTTTTACTACACTGCAAAAAACAGTATTGTCAGGTAAAATGATCTTAAATCTAATATTTCTCCTCTTGAGACTGTTGTAAGATTATTTTCCTTGTTTCTAGACATTTTTTACCTTTTTTAAGTCATTCAATCAAGTAAAATTGTCTCACTATGTTGGCAGATAATGGTGCTTGTTGTAAGAAATGTGCTTGAAACCAGCAACATTATCTGCCAGTATAGTGAGATAATTTTACTTAATAAAATTACTTAAAACGTAGTAAAAATGTCTATAAATAAGATAGATAATACTATAATAAGTGCACACCAATCTCAAAATAAAAATATTAGATACATCGACTAGATTTAAGATCATTTCACTTGACAAGATGCTATTTTTTGCAGTGCAAACTTGGATTTTAAGGATTTGTAAAACAAAGCCAAATCATTTAGGAATGCTAACGAACTGGGGGCGTTTTTAAAAATTCTGCATTTATGTAGCAAACAAGTAATGGAAGCGTATAGATAGTATTCGAATGACGTCACACTCGTCACTGCCGCCATATTGTTGTCAATGCTGTGATGACAGCAGTGACAGCAATGACACTCACAGAGCCACCGTTTGTGCAGCACTGGTTAATAAATCATCCTAAAAGATAAAACATAGCCACGTTGAGCCGTGAGCTTCCTGTCTCCTTTTCTCAGTGAGGTTCTTCTTGATCAGCTACACATCCTTTCAGACCCACAGCGCTGAGTCGTCTTCTCACAGTGGAAGGATGGACAGAAACACCTGTGGATGTTTTCAGATCTGATCAGCTTGATTTTCTCCTCTCTCTCAGAGATGAAAGCTTTAAGTGCTGTTTATCTGATGGGGGCAGTTTTGGGGTCGACCAGCTCTTCCAGGTGGTTGTTAGGAGACACATTTTCTCTGTAACTTTCTCCTTCTTTATGCAAGTGGATTATCTTACGTCTAATCTTCTCACAAATGTCTGACTTTCCCAACATAAATATATATAAATATAGGTAGCACTGTGTGCTGACAAGCAGCTCAACTGTATTATATAACATATGCAAGGAAACAGTTCCATTCAGAATATGATTAATAATCCAACATTAAGCAGCGCTCGGCCAGGATGGGACTTTTATGTAAAGGCCAACACGCACTCAAAAAGCCAAATTCACTAGAAAGTCTCTGCTGGAGCAGATAAAACACTTAGTCTGCAGTTTTCAGTGTTTTTTCAGTGTCTTTCTGCTGAAGAGCCGATTTTCCCCGAAATCTTTCATGTAGGTCTGCCTGGCATCACTGCTCCAAACGCCAAAGGGGCTGCTGGATCTTCTCCGCAGTCAAGCAGAATCCACTGAAGCTGCTGCTCTTTGAAGACTGAGTGTTTGATGACACTGACGATCTCCGCCAAAAGACACAACTGCACTTCCTCTCTGGTTGAGCCAACGAGTGCTTAGACAGCGTAACAGAGTCTACAGTGTGATGAACGAGGCTGGCCTCTCATTCTGAAGGAAGAAAGCAATTTAAAAGGGGAAGAATTGCCTCTTTTTTCACATCCATGCTTCATCTGGAATTTCAGTATCTATCAGCGGGGAACCCTCAGGGACTCCTAGACCTTCAGAAAAGGCCTAATGATTTCTGTGGACTAAAAGAATAGCTGTCTGTAATTTTTAGTTCATTTTTATTTAATACAATCATCATGTTTGTTGTATTTAAACTATTTTTATTGCTAAGTTTTGCCCAATGGCAAAAAAAAAAATGTCATCGGAACTATGAATTAAACCTCATCATGTGGGGCTGCATACGACGAAAAGCACCCGATACCCACTGTCAGACATGGTGGTGGATCACTGATGTTTTAGGGTTGTTTTGCTGCTAGTCGTCCAGGAGCTCTTGTGAAAGTCAATTGCATAATGGATTCAACTAAATACAGGAGACTTTAGCACAAAAACATTCTGCCTCCGCCAAAGTAAGAGTAATTAGAGTATTACTCTTATTTCATTGAATGCGTTTACATGCACTTCATAATCCGATAACTGCAGAAAATCAGATTTTGTCAGTAATCCAATCAATGTGTTTTCATGCACTTGAGTAATCAGATAATAGGGAAACTCCAGGTCTACATGAGTCAGACAGTAATCAGATTTCTGCTTTACAACCAGCCAATAAACTCACAGAAGAAGACGTGACGTAAACGTAACGTAAAACTTCATGAGCACCTTTTTAAAAACACTGCAAGTTATTTTACCTCAAAATACGAACAAACATCATCTAGAAGATGAAGAAAATTTAAGTCCTTCATTTCATCAAGCATGTATTTGGTTTCAGCGTCACTTCAAATGTGTTTCGCGGCAACTCTGCTTGCTTATTTCCGGTACCGCGGTCTGTTTTCGCACATGCTCAGACTGAGAAACCCGAAAGAAATCAGAGTAAGAGTTTACATGCATTTGAATAATCAGATAACTGCAAAAATCCGATTATGACTGGATTATCGAGTACATGTAAACGCACTCTCACTTTGTGAAACCCAATGGAAAACTGTCCAATCAGGATTGTTCTCTCTGTGGTATCTAGGTAGATACAGCCAAGCGAGCTCTCCCATTGGTTAGGACTTCAGGAGCTGGATTGAAGGCCTTACACGTTTCATTCACTACCAACATAATTAGGAATAGACAGGAATCAACCAATCATGCTCTGATTTACAATGGGAACAATTTTTTGAGGAAAAAACATCACTCTAGTCTTTCTGGAGGTTCTAGATACGTCACTGACTGTGAATTCGAGTCGTACTCTAAGTAGGTTTCAGGTGGTCGTTAGGAATGGAAAACAGCGGCTGCAGCTCTATACCAGGATTAAATCTCAAATATATATTAATGTCTGTTACAAGCTTTAAATAAAATGCATGCAATGTCTTTCAGAAGTTTCTGTGTTTAATCTAACATGGCCAAAAAATGTTCATGTGAATCGGCATTAGCTTAGCGCTAACATACTACTGGAATCCCATAAGCGTGCTAGCAGAATTTAGCTTTTTTTTGACACTATAGGCCTAGCTCTAACAGTCATGGTATCTGTTTTTTTGGCAATGCGAGATGCATTTATTAGGTGCAGACATAAAGGGATTCGGGTTCGAATGTCAGGTGCGCCACATTAGAGTATCTGGGAACAGGCACAGCCCCAGAACTAAATCAAGAGTGGGGCATCCGCTAAGGAACAGCTCAGGTAGACCCGTTCGGCAGTGATCCTCACTGTTTGAAGCCACACGTTTAAGGGAAAATCAAAAGAGAGCCACATTTAAAGTAAATCACCAAAGTGCTGCCCATTTAGAAAACCTGTCCGCTGTGTTATCTTCCCACAACAAACAGTGCATCCCTAAAACGCAGCCAAACTGATGTGTGTAAATCCTCCTGTGTTAATTGCAGCCAGCAGTGCAGCAGCACGAAGTGTAGTTTCACTTAAACTCTTTTTTGTGGCTTGTGGGTTTAGTGGGTTAAGTGGGGCATGATGATTGGTTGGTGAGCTACTGCTGCACTAAAAGACCCCCCTAATGTTTGGCCTGGCTGGGAATCCTTGAAAATGCAGCTCTTATGTGAACCAGGGCATAAGGGCTTAATAAGCAGCGTTAGCGAATAGAGTGTAAATAGCAAAAAAATTGCAAAATGTAGTATCACGATACTTCAGGAAGTTTTTGATGATACACAATGTCACCATTTTTATTTTTTCTGACATCTGATAACGTACAACAGACCACATTTTAAAAATACTATGAAACTATGAATCCAGTGATTGGATTCAACACATTGATCCAATTAAACAATTTTGCTAATTGACCAATTGATCAATTTTATCTTTTTAATTAAACAAGAAGTTGAGAAGTGTTTAAGTACTGATATCTACAATACGCTCAGAGAAGCACATTGAGACATACTGTGATGTAATTTATCATGATGACAACAAATATTGTCATATTTATAAAATATAATAATTTAAATTATTGAATTTAAATTATTATTATTATTATTATTATTATTAATTTAAAGTATAGAACTGACTGTGTGCGGTTTTGAGTCAGTAACGCTGACAGAGCTTTCAAATGATGTTTACCGTGATTGGCTGTTTGTAAATAAAGGACTGTTGGGTTTGCACAGCTGGTGCAGATGTGTTTGAGTTTTAGAGAGGAACTCAGAAGTGAAGTAATGAGTAGTGAGATTACTTTTCACAGTGAGTAATTAATACGCTTATTACAGTGTGAGAGAAGTAACTGGGGGCAGTCGTGGGCTGGAGGTTAGGGAATCAGCCTTGTGACCGGATGGATCCCCTGAGCCAACAGTATGTCACTGAGGTGCCCTTGAGCAAGACACCTAACCCCCAACTGCTCCCCGGGCGCTGTGGATAGGGCTGCCCACCACTCCGGGCAAGTGTGCTCACTGCCCCCTAGTGTATGTGGTGTTTCACTGCATGGATGGGTTAAATGCAGAGGTGAAGTTTCCCCTTTGTGGGACTAATAAGGGTCACTTAAGTTAATCACTTAATTAGTAACTTGAAACTGATTAAAGTTGTCGAGTGACGACCCCAAACACTGTTAATAAGGGCTTAATTACAAGGATATAACCCTCACTCTAGACTGTGTTTTTTTAATGTCCAGAGTGTAATCAATAACTTTACTAAAGTTAATTGGCCCTCATTCATCAGTACCTCCCTAAGTTTGCTCTTAAGTGTGTTGTTGAGAAAGGTCCTAAGCGAAAGTCTCCGTCAGATTCATGACGTGTTCTTAAAGCGCAGAACTGTTCTCACCTTTGTGTTCTTGAGTGTGTGCAGATTCTGTTCTTACCTGAGAACAAATCCCATGTAAGAGAACATTGGTGAGTCAGAATCTTCGTCAGAACTGCGTAAGTGGGTTTAAGAAGGCCTAATGTTTATTATCGCTGTATGCCATGTGTTCTCCGCACAGGCGACTCACCTCTACATGCTTAATTGAAGGTTACAGGGAACTTTTTAGCCATGCTAACTCCATGTGCTAACGGCAGGCTTGTTGACGAGCGCACCAGCGCCCCCTACTGTGAGCTCTGTCTTCATTAGATGTTGGACTGGTTTCTTTGACACTCAGTTTGTTCCCACCCTAGTAAGTCTATGCTCCCACACATTTAGCCCAAAACATCTCATAGTTGTCCTCAAACGTTCTCACTATGAGATCTGGCCCGAGGCTGGATACAGAACAGAACTAGGAGATTAACCTACACTCTTAAAAAAGGTTCTTCATGGATTCTATGTGTTCCACTGCATATTGTTGTATATGGTTATATAGGATCTTTTTCAAAATGGTTCTGTATAGCACCAAAAAGGGTTCTTCTAATGTAACAAACAACATCATAACAATAAAATACATTTTTTGGTGCTAAATAGAACCATATAGCACATTCTCCATCGATCTGAAGAGCCATTTCACTATGCAAAGAACCCTTTAAGCATGCATATGGTTCTCTGAGTGTTCATGGTTCTCTTTAGTAAAGAAGCCTTGAAGAACCAGCTTTTTTTACGATTGTATGAATTACTGTTTATGTGCTGAATTGAACAGATTGGAAAAAAGATAAAACATAAAAAACAGAAGCTGGGCACTACAACTTACAGAAGAGTGCCACATCTGAGTCTGCATGACATGCAGGCACGCTCCTCTTAGGATTTATGACACCTCTGCAGCTACCTGAGAGGACAGCACCGGGCAGTAAAGCGTTCGGCCACTCATGTAGATTCTCAAGGTTTTATGCCTTTAATAAAAGCCTTTTGAAGTTCGCTTTCCAAAGCCCACCAACCAAGCTGCCCAAGACCAGCAGCTCCAGCTGCCTCTGTTCTCTCACAAACACCTGCTGCGAATGCAGCGAGGCCATTCAGACAGCTGTGTAGTACAAAGGTGTCTAGATAGAGCATGCTTTCAATAAGCCGAAACAGGGGATGATCTCTCTCCTTAATGAATAACTCCATAAAAATGGACCAGAGCCAACAGACGGAGGCTTGTGTTTTCCCCTCTCTGACTCTTTACTCACAAAAAATAACAATCTGCTCACCAATAAAACAGGAAGAGAAATGTATTCCTGTCTTCTTTAATATGTGTTTACCAGAGAACTCTGTTAGGTCCTGAAAGTTCAGAGTGGGACACCAAACCCTGTGAGGATCAGTGTCATTAAAATTCAGGTAATTTTTGCATAATTAAACGGTTAAGATATAAACAGAGTGGTTCAGAGTGGTTTGGTGTGAGTCAGAGTCAGAGCTGTTCACAGTGGTGGTGACAGGAACCAGACGTCCACCTCTAAAAGCTCCCACACAGAAAGTTCCTACAGGAAATGGTTATGAATTCACTGCCTGATGACTGAGACACTGTTTTATGGTAGTTTTGAGAAAGTTTTGGTCTAAAAAATGTTTTTAAAATACACTATATGGCCAAAAGTTTCATTTTCAGCCACACCTACCACTAACAGGTGTATAAAATCAAGTACATAGCCACGCAGTCTCCATAGACAAACACTGGCAGTAGAATGGGTCGCACTGAAGAGCTCAGTGACTTTAAATTAACCTTTTTGTGGTACTTTTACCGCAAGTTCTGCTCTGCTAGATCTCCCCCAGACAACTGTAAGCGCTATTATTATGAAAGGGAAGCACCTAGGAGCAACAACAGCTCAGCCACGAAGCAGTAGGTCATGCAAACTCACAGAGTGCTGAAGTGTGTAACGTAAAAATCATCTATCCTCTGTCGCATCACTCACTACAGGGTTCGAAACTGCCTCTGGAAGCAACATCAGCACAACAACTGTGTGTCAGGAGCTTCATGAAATGGGTCTCCATTTAGTGGTCTTACAAGCCTAAGACCATGATGCGCAATGCAAAACGTGTTCTCTGAAGTGATGAATCAGCTTCTCTACCTGTCAGTCTGATGATGAATCTGGGTTTGGTGGATGCCAGGAGAACGTTACCTACCGGAATGCAGAGCCAACAGTAAAGTGTGGTGGAGGAGGGATGATGGGCTGGGCTGTTTATCAGGGTTTGGGCTCTCAGTTCCAGTGAAGGGTGATGTTGATGCTGCAGCACAGAGACATTTTACACAGTTATCTGCTTCCAGCTTTGTGTCAGCAGTTTGGGGAAGAGCCTTTCCTGTTCCAGCATGACTGAGCCCCTGAGCACAAAGCAGCTCCATAAAGACATGGAGTGACCAGTCTGGTGTGGAGGAACTCCAGTGGCCCTCACAGAGCCCTGACCTCAACCCCACTGAACACCTTTGGGATGAACTAGAACGGAGATTGTGAGCCAGGCCCTCTCATCCAACATCAGCGTCTGACCTCTCAAATGCTCTATTGATGGAATGGACATCTACAGACACACTAATAGACACACTATTTTGGTTTTGTTGAAAATTCAATAATAATTCAGCTTCCAGTTACCTCAGATGGAGGCACTGCACTCCGGTGGTCCAAACAACAGTTTCCCCACCTTACCCCGAGACCGAGACCAGACCAAGTCCCAATGAGGTCGAGACCAAGATGAGGCAGAGACCGCTAGTTTATAGTTTTGAGACCGGACTTGAGTACTACAACACTAAAGCCCAATCCCATTTCACCCCTCGCCCCTACCACTCAGCCCTACCATTCTGTTTTGCGCGCTCACATTTACGTGTAGGGGGTCCCAATTCTTGTTGAGATAGAGGGGTAGGGTGAAGTGTTGGGGCTACATGACCCTCCAAACGGAGGTTTTTCAGAGACTCCAAACAGAGAGTTATGAGAAAAAAAGAAAAACTGGCAAAATGACAGAACAAGAGACCAAAGAAACCCACAAATGTGAGAATTTTCTCCATTAAAAAATTACAATAACCATCATATTACCTTAGTTTAATGTCCTTTCAGTGTAATATGGTCCTTTTCTTCATAACAAGCATATAAAATCACTAGTAGTGCTGACGTCTCGGTAGCTTAATTTCCTGTTCCACCTTAAATAGTCTAGCAGTTACATTCTGGCTTCAGAACTGCTGCTCCATTTAAGGTGGAATGGAAAATTTGAACAAGAAGCTGGTGAATATCTGACTTCAGCTTCATATCACTGAAGAATTAGGGGTGGGTGATAATAAATAATTGCCCCCCTCTTTGAAGGCATATGATGCCCTAAATGTAACTAAAGCCCAGCAGTGAGGAGCTGAACTTTACCCTCCTCTGCTGTCACTGCAGACTGGCAGGGTCGCCTACAGAGCAGCGCTGGTAGCTGTTAATGAAGTGATGCTCTTTTTATCTGAGGGTCCCATTTCAGAGGGAAGATTTCAACCACTACCCTGTGACTCAGTTCCAAGGGGCAACACTCGAAAACAAGGATTAGGGCTAAAAATAAGAAATAGGACTGGGCCTTCTTCTATGACCGCAGTGTATATACTGACTCTATTTCCAGAAGGGCTCTGCTGCAGAGTGATAATAAGCACATTAAGCACTGCATACATACGTGAAGACTGATCTGCTTGTGGGAACTTGGACACAGAGTTCTGAAGGCTGGCGAGCTTGGACTTCATGATCCGGAGGCCTTCAGTGAAGCGGATCTCCTGTCCCTTTAGGAACTTCTCCATCTGACGGAGCACGCCCATCACCCTCTGCTTGTCCAAGCAGCTCTGGCGCATCAAAAGAAACATGAATGTATAATCAGGTCATAGATAATCCAAATGGGCACAATTTCCTTTAAAGCCAACGGCTCAATTACAGGCATCACCTCACGATGAGGAGGGATGACAAAACCACCAGAGCTCCCAATAAAGCAAGGGTTTCTGTGTAAACTAAGAAGTGGCACATATGTTAGTATTAGGACCAGATGTGGATGAGGTCATCCTGTGAAAAGGGTGGGTACGGTGGTACTGGACACTGCAGGAAGGAGAAGGTCATGCTTATGTTTAGGTGGAGCTCAGTGAGCCTTTAAAAAAATGTCTCCTTAGCAGAACATTTTGGAGCGGTTCTTCACCGTCATAAAGTGCAAACCAGACGTGTTAGGACAGTCAATTATTTCTAATCCCAGCTCTTTGGACTATTTATTCTAGGCAATCCATCATAAATTACTTGATTGAGGGTGGAAGGTGTTTTTTTCTGACTACCGACCTACCTTAGAATCTGTGGACAAACTGAAAAGCAACTTAAAAAACTTCAAGATTTAAACAGGTTAGACACACAGCTCTATGAATGTACAGTACTGTGTAAAAGTCAGAGACCATCCATTTAATTTCCAGGCAAAACATCCAAAAGTCACTCTTTGCCTTTATTCCAGCTTCCATTCTTTTCAGGAGACTCACTTTCAGTTCCTCAAAGAATCTGCAGACACACCTCCAAAGTTCAGTCTCAGAAGCTGGTTGATGATTTTCTGAAGTAATCAAACACATTCAGTGGTGTTGAGGTTTGGACTCTGGGGTGGTCAGTCCATCGTTCAGCTTCTTTGTTTGATGTGTCCGTCTCCTTTTCTCAGTGAGGTTCTTCTTGACAGCTACACATCCTTTCAGACCCACAGCGCTGAGTCGTCTTCTCACAGTGGAAGGATGGACAGAAACACCTGTGGATGTTTTCAGATCTGAAGCAGCTTGATTTTCTCCTCTCTCTCAGAGATGAAAGCTTTAAGTGCTGTTTATCTGATGGGGGCAGTTTTGGGGTCGACCAGCTCTTCCAGGTGGTTGTTAGGAGCCTCATTTTCTCTGTTCTCTTATTTCTTACATCTACATGTCCTCAGAAAAATCTCCTCAAAAATTAATAACTGGCCTTTATGACTGGTCGATAAATAAATGAAGCGTGATTTCTGACTTCCCTGCGATGGACTGGCGACCTGTCCAGGGTGTATCCTGCCTTCCGCCCAATGACAGCTGGGATAGGCTCCAGCACCCCACCGCAACCCAGAAGGATAAGCGGTTTAGATGATGTATGTATGTATGTATGTGATTTCTGACTTTTGCAACTTTCCCAACATAAATATATATAAATATAGGTAGCACTGTGTGCTGACGAGCAGTTTAACTGTATTATATAACATACGCAAGGAAAAAGCTCCATTCAGAATATGATTAATAATCCAACATTAAGCAGCGCTCGGCCAGGAGGGGACTTTTATGTAAAGGCCAACACGCACTCAAAAAGCCAAATTCACTAGAAAGTCTCTGCTGGAGCAGATAAAACACTTAGTCTGCAGTTTTCAGTGTTTTTTCAGTGTCTTTCTGCTGAAGAGCCGATTTTCCCCGAAATCTTTCGTGTAGATTTGCCTGGCATCACTGCTCCAAACCCAGAGGAGCTGCCGGATCTTCTCCGCAGTCAGAATCCACTGAAGCTGATTTCTTTCTTTCTTCTTCTTCTTCTTGTAAATTATACCAAAACTTTTTTTCTTTGTGTGGCTTATCACAAGGCCCCCTTTTTGGACCTCCTCGGAATATTCTGCCCTCTTACTTTGCCCAAACCTGCTACATGTTGAGTTAGTTTGGCTCTGGATTTGTTCTGATCAGTTTTCATGTAATTTTCTAAGTGCCTCATTAGTTTTTGAGGTTTTTTTCCTGTCTGCGCTTGTTTATGACTGGTTGACTGATCAGCTGTTCTGCCTTCTCTTGTGATCACTGGTTCTCAATCACCAAGAATACCACAGAAACCACCTATCAACACCTTAGCAGCCATGAGGTTACCATAACAACCCCCTAGAAACACCATTGCAACCTCCTGGAATACCACAGGAACAACCCAGCAACACCTCAGCAGCCACCAGAGATACCATAGCAACAGCCTAAAAACACCTTAGAAATCATCCAGGACAGCATAGCAACCACCTAGCAACATCATAGCCACCACTTGGGATGCTACATTTATGCCTCCTGACTCCTAAAGCACTTGCTAAAGGCAAAAGGTCAAAGGCTGAATCCAAGAAAATGGATTCATAAGTTCAGTCAATGCACCTGACTTAACAAGCAACACCTTAGCAACCACCTAGCAACACCTTAGCAACCACATTGGACACCATAGCAACTGCCTAGCAACTGCTTAGCAACCACTTAGGACTCCATAGCAACAGGCTAGCAAATGCTTAGGAACCATTTCTCACACCACAGCAACTGCCTAGCAACATTTTATCAACCACCTTGCACACCATAACAACAGTGTAGCAACACTTTACCAGACATCTTTAACATCTTAGCAACCACCTGGGATACCATAACTACTGCCTAACAACACTCTAGCAACCACCTGGGATACCACAGCAACCCGCTAGCAAAAACCCTAGAAAACACCTGGGACATGGCAGCAACAACCTAGCAACACCTTAGCAAACACCTGGCATACCATAGCAACAGTCCAGCAACCACTTAGAAACCACCTGGGACATGATAGTAACTACCTAGCAACACCTTAGCAACCACCAGGGATACCATAGCAACACCGTATCAACCACTTAGAAACCACCTGGGACATGACAGTCACCACATAAGAACACTTTAGCAACCACCTGGGTTAACATTCCAACCACCTAGCAACCGCTTAGAAACAACCTGAGACACCATAACAACCACCTAGCAGCATTTTAGCAACTGCCCACTATGGTCGATGGTATATTGCTATGGCCGGCCACTCTTCAGTCCACACACGGGCACTGAGCTGCAGACACAGTCTGAGTTTAATTCATTGTTTTTGTGATGTCACACAGAAGGGTAAAGAAAGAGAGAGAAAGGGGGAGAGAGAGCGAGAGAGAGAAAGACAGAAGGGGAAAGAGAGGGAGAACAGAGAGATTATAATCACAGTGATAATAGTAATACTGTAACATTGTGATTATATTAATGAATATGGTCATTATTTATGTTGGTTCTTTTCATCTAATTTGGTTGTCATTGTTGTTTTAGTTGTTCAGGCTACTGTTGTGATGCTTTAGCAATACTGTACCTCACAGTCAGAACAGAGAACTGATAACAGAAAGAAAGAAGAGAGAGAGGGAGAACAGAAAGAAAGGACAGAAAGAAAGGAGAGAGAGGGAGGACAGAGAAAAAGAGAGAAAGGGGGAGTGAGTGAGAGAGAAAGAAAGAAAGAAAGAAAGAAAGAAAGAAAGAAAGAAGAAAGGAGAAGGAGAGAGAAAAAACAGAGTGAGAAAGGAAAGAGAGGGACAGAAGAAGAGAAAGGAAAGAGAGAATGAGAGAGAAAAGAAAGATGAGAAAGGAGAGAGAGAGGGAGAGAGAGAGAGAGAGAGAGAGAGGGAGAGAGATAGAGGGAGAGAGAGAAAAAAGAAAGATGAGAAAGGAGAGAGAGGGAGGGCAGAGAAAAAGAGAGAGAGAGAGAGAGAGAGGGAGAGAGAGAAAAAAAGAAAGATGAGAAAAGAGAGAGAGGGAGGGCAGAGAAAAAGAGAGAGAGAGAGAGAGAGAGAGAGAGAGAGAGAGAGATGAAACTGACTAACCTGCAGTCCATCATTACAGCTGTGTGAGGCGAGGATGGACAGGAGCAGCAGAGAGCGGAAGTGCTGTGAGAGGATCATCCTCCGAACTCCGGACTCTGCGGTTCGCCGTTAATCCGAGCTGCGGGTCGCGGGGTTCGGTGTTTCTGTTCAGGTGTCGCTGCTGAGCCGAGCGGACGGAGCGCGGCTGATGTCGGTCTGAGTTCACTGAGCGCTGAAACTGCAACCTGACAGAGTTCAGGCAGGTTATTTATTTCCCACCCGTATTCGGGGGAAAACCCCGCCCCCCTGCGCTGCGATTGGCTGGCACTGGCACTGCCATGTCTGGCTGCGCCGGGCTCAGTTAGTAGTTCTCTGGTTCATTTACCAGCGCTCAGACTGTTCGACACCAGAAACTTTGGAGTCGACTCCGATTCCGATTCCGATTCCCAGCGACAGGAATCGATGGAGTCGATTTCGAGAATCGATTCCTTATAATAATCTCGACTCCTAAAACCAAGACATACACACTTAAAAAAGGTGGTTCTTCAAGGGTTCTTTTGTAAGGACAGTGGTTCTATATAGAACCATGAACCTAAAGAACTACTTGCATGCTTAAAGGGTTCTCGGCATGGTGAAATGGTTCTTCCAATTGATGGAGAATGTATATGGTTTTTTATAGAACCTTTCTGAGAATATAGCACCAAAAGGGGTTCTACTGATGTATAAAACCTTGACGTCATAACACATTGTAATTCTCCATCCATCTGTAGAACCTTTTCAACATGCAAAGAACTCCTTAAGCATGCAAATTGTTCTAAATACAACTCATTGCTCTAGATAGAACCATTGCCTTTACTAAAGAACCCTTGAAGAACCATCTTTTTTATGCAGAATCAGAATCAGGTAGAATTTAATCAGCTAAGTTGGTTTATACTAGATAAACTAACGTAGCTGATTAAATTCTACCTGATTCTGATTCTGCATAACAAATGTGACATTTTACGTTGTTCTCCACTTTATCTAGAATACATTATAGCTGCAGTGTTCATGTGCTAGTTGTGGATGGATGTTTTTTCTACGTACGTTGTCTAGAACAGTGACAACCTATGTAGAAAAAGCAGAATATCTCACTGTGCGGAGTCAAGTACATGTGGAATCGAATGCCTGGAACTGATGATTCGATTCTTTTTGTGATCGACTCGCAGCCATGCTCTAAAAGCCAGTCCTAGCGCAGGTTTTGTCCGAATACAGGTGGGAAAAACACAACACGCCCACCACACAAGCTGGTTTAGTCCGGCCTCCGTCATTATTTCTCAAAGTTTCTGCATAGTTCAGTGTGTGAGATGTAAACAGAGTCATTCAGAGTGGTTTGGTGTGAAATGGTTCAGATGTCTTTACAGTGGTGGTGATAGGAACCAGGGGTCGCCATGACTACAACACAAATATAGACATTTTATTTACTATCCAGAACCACCAGTGAACCTACACGAGTCTTTTTTAAGCACAAAAACTTAAACATTGTCGTAAAAATGACGTCTCAGTCATCAGGCAGTGAATTCATAACCATTTCATGTAGTAACTTTCTGTGAGGGAGCTTTTAGAGGTGGACGTCTGGTTCCTATCACCACCACTGTGAACAGTTCTGACTGTAAGTTTCTCTAGGACAGAGCGTTTCACACCAAACCACTCTGAACCACTCTGAACTCCGAGAGTTCCCCTTTAAGAGCATCAGGAGATCTTGAGATTACTGCGGTGCAGGTTAACTAAGCTAACTCAAAACCCCTTTAACTTTGCATTGTGGCTGTGGGGAAGCGTGGTGCAGGAGTGCGCCATCTGCTGGCTGCGGTTAAAACATTTTGAATCGTCATCGGGAAAAAATAATAATATAGGATTTAAAATCATTCAAAGCTGGAACCCAATGGCTGAGCCATTAACTAGTATAGAGTAAAATACAAATGAACTACAATCCCATGGCTCTGTGCCGGCGCCGCTTCGTGGAGTACGTGCTAGTGACGTCATCCGTGCGACGGACATTGTTGTCCGTTTCTGCGAAATGCGATCAACATCGGTTTTGCTGTCTTGCATCATCATTTAATGATTTGAGACAGAGGCATAGCACTAAATCTAATTTAATTTTACAAAATATTTGGACATATTTGATCGAAGGGTCGAAGAAGTACATTCGAAAATCTTCCATAGCTTTTACTCCATAATCGTTACTTAATAACTGTATTAATAATCCCGTTAATCTCTTTGTGTTCAGACCTGTGAACATTAGTGACTCCATGACAATGCTTTCATTGTGTAATACAGGACGAAAATATATGGATGCCCTGCTGAAAAAGAACCATTAAAAACCTAATAGATTTGTTTTCTAATGGGAACTGACTTAATGGTTTCCAATAGAGACCTCTAGTTTCCTGTAGAACACCTTTAGATCCCATTAGAAAACCATCAGATGCATTTAGAATTAGCCATTGGTCACCTGTTAAACCATTAGGATCCTTTACACTGTGAGATAGATAGACAGATAGATAGATAGATAGATAGATAGATAGATTCACAGATTCATAGATAGATAGATAGATAGATTGATATGTTCATAGATAGATAGACAGATTCATAGATAGATTGATAGGTTCATAGATAGATAGATAGATAGATTCATAGATTCATAGATAGATAGATAGATTCATAGATAGATATGTTTATAGATAGACAGACAGATAGATAGATAGATAGATAGATAGATAGATAGATCCATAGATAGATAGATAGATAGACAGATAGATAGATAGATAGATAGATAGATTCATAGATAGATAGATAGATAGACAGATAGATAGATTCATAGATAGATAGACAGATAGATAGATTCATAGATAGATAGATAGATTCATAGATAGATAGATAGATAGATTCATAGATAGATAGATAGATAGATAGATAGATAGACAGATTCATAGATAGATAGATAGATGGATAGATAGATAGATAGATAGATAGATAGATTCATAGATAGATAGATAGATAGATAGATTCATAGATAGATAGATAGACAGATTCATAGATAGATAGATAGACAGATAGATAGATAGATAGATAGATAGATAGATAGATAGATAGATAGATTCATAGATAGATAGATTCATAGATAGATAGATAGATAGATAGATAGACAGATTCATAGATAGATAGATAGATAGATAGATTCATAGATAGATAGATAGATAGACAGATAGATAGATTCATAGATAGATAGATAGATAGATAGATTCATAGATAGATAGATTCATAGATAGATAGATAGATAGATAGATAGAAAATTTTTCTATTGCAGGAGTACAAAGCACAATAAAGAGCAAAACAAGGGCAAAATGAACAGAATCAGAGAATTGCCATAAAATAAATAATACAATAAAATATACTAAACAATAAACAAAACAGTAAACTATAAGGGTAATGTGTGATGCACAGACAAAGTGACAGTGCAGTGTGCAATATTAGTGGAAATAAATAAACAAAATACACAAAGTGGCAGCGTAATGTGACATGACACCCAAAATAAACAACGTAAACAAAGTGGCAGTGCAATATGAGCGGCGAAAAAGACTTCAGTACACAATAATCAGGATAGCAGAGTTTACTGAGTGACCTCCTTTCAACCACCACCTCAAAACCATCCAGTGATCATCCCAAGACAGAACCAGCCTTCCTGACCAGTTTGTTGAGCCTCTTTGCGTCTCCCCCTCTGATGCTGCCTCCCCAGCAGACTGCTGCAAAGAAGACTCCCCAACAACAGACTGGTAGAAGATCTCCAACAGTCCAGTTTGTTGTTAAGCAGGACACCCAGATATTTGTGGTTGTCTACCAGCTCAATGTTCTGACCCATGATGGTAACAGGACCGATCGTGGTCAACCCATTAAAAAAGCCAAAACACACTACAAAACCATCAGGAACCAACAGAGACACTTAATGGTTTTTACGGGTTTTTTCAGCAGGGTGATGCAAGAAAATTATTATCACTGCGACTGCCACCCAGATATCGAGCACATGTCGGTTCGCTGGTTTGATAAGGTAGCACCTGCTGTCTGTTTGCCACTGCTGGACCACCATCGGACCACCCAGATTACTGTCCTGTGTACAAGGTCTAACTAGTTTTCAATCCCAGCAAACAAATCAATCAATCAATCAATCATTCGATCAATCAATCAACCTTTATTTAGACTCAGAAGTACATTAACCCGACCGCCCAGCTCATTTTCAATATTATACAAGGATTGAAAAAAGGTATGAAAATGTGCACACAGCTTGAATAACCTCCATAGAAGAGCACTGACCAATAGAATGGGATGCTGCAGCAGCCTGAGGTCACATGAGCCTAAGGTCACCATGCCCAATGTCCAGCGTGGGCTAGAGGGGTATAAAGCCCCCCAGCATTGGGCTGTGGAGCAGTGGAACTGTGCTCTCTGGAGTGATGGAGCTCCATCCAGTACCTTTGGGATGAGTTGTAGTGATCCAGAACTGACCATCCAACATCAGTACCTGACCTCACTAATGCTCAATCAAATCCTCACAGCAATGTTCCAACATCTAGTGTAAAGCATTCCCAGAAGAGTAGAGGCTGTTACTGCAGCACAGACTCAGAGGAAACGCTGGAGTCTACAAGCTTCAAACAGGTGATGCTCTCCCGCCGAGGCTGCACATCACTTCCATTCATTTGAAGTTGGGTGACACCTAGTGGCAAAAAAGCAATGTTACATTTGATACCAGTCAAATACAGAGCAGATTATAATATGAAGAATTTGTTATCAAAAATGTATTAAAAGAAATCATATGCTGATTTTTTATTTTTATGGAAGCTCATTGCTGAATGCAATCAAATGCTTACAGCAATGTAGTAATAATATTACTATTAATATTTTGAGAAAATAAGTCAAGTTATTAAGTCACTGTTATGAGAAAAGAAGTCACTGTTATATTGGTCACTTTTAAATTAACGTATTGTCTTTAGACGTACACACACACGTATATATATATATATATATATATATATATATATATATATATTATTGCATTATTGTGAGCAATAATAAGTCATTGTTATATTATTTTATGTCCTGTCCAGGGTGTACCCTTCCTTTGTGTGTGTGTGTGTGTGTGTGTGTGTGTGTGCGTATGCATGTATAGATATACTTTTTATATTTTTTATTGCGTTATTGCGAATAACAGTGCAGTATCTCAGAATAATTATATATTTTCTGGAAATAACGACTTAATATCTCAGTATATAATAATAATAATGACTTATTTTCTCGAACTATTTTTAATATCTTGAAATATTGACTTATTATCTCAATATAATTACTTATTATCTCGATGTAGTAGGCCTAATTTCAAAACAGCACGCCAACATTTTTATACATTATTTTCAGATGCTGACTCAATAATTTGAAACAAAGAAGGAGAACAAAGCAAGCGATTGTTACAGTTTTAAAGCAGTTATTTTCACATTGCCAGATATTATGCTAATAATCTCGTCAGAGCGAACTGCGCATGTCACCGTCATTGGTCGGCACTCGTGTTGTTGACAGCTATGACAGCCAATAGACGGGGTGGAAATTGTGAAGCGCAATAATGCAATAAAATTACAACACACACACATGGAAACGATGACTTAATACCTCAGTATTTCCCACAATGAGTACTTAGCTTCAAATACTGACTTCTTGCAATAATGACGTATTTTCTCGAAATATTAACTTAATATCCCGACATATCGACCTCAGCAGAATTACTTTTGACTTATTATCTCGAAATAGTGGAGTACTTTCTTAAAACGTAGTTTAGCTAAATTCAATATTTTATTTCGACATAGCGTCAACATTTTGATACAAATATTAAGTCATTATTTCGAGATGATAACTCAATATTTTGTCATACTGCCGCCATAAACAATAACAAGCGGTTTTCACTCTTCTAAAGTTGTTATTTTTGATAGATTATATGCTAATAACCTCATCAGAACGAACTGCGCATGTCACCGTCATTGGTTGGCACTTGTGTTGTTGACAGCTGCGACAGCCAATAGACGGGGTGGAAATCGTGACGCGCCAGCAGTTCGACCAATCGCAGGCGAAGTATGTAGATATACTTTTTATATTTTTTATTGCATTATTGCGTATAGTATCTCATAATAATCATATATCTTCTGGAAATAACGACTTAATATCTCAGTATTTCGCCAAATAATTGCTTTTTTGCGTCTCGAAATCATTTATTCTTCTTGCAGTAATGACTTATTTTCTCGAACCATTTTTTAAATATCTTGACATATTGACTTAGTACCTCAATATAGTTACTTATTATCTCGAAATGTTGACTCAATGTCTCGAAATAGTGACGTACGTTCTTAAAACGTAGTAGGCCTAATTTCAACACATTTTATACATTATTTTCAGATGCTGTCTCAATATTTTGAAACAAAGAAGGAGAAGATTTTTTTTTTTTTTTACAAATTTAAAGCAGTTATTTTAACATTTCACATCTCTATTTTTGTCGTTTTTCGGTTTTTGGCATAATCAGAAAATGCCTGCTGCTCTTTACATTGTGTGTAAATTTCATGATGAATGGACCAAAAGAAACGGCCCAAAATGACCTGGAAAGACGTCTGGTTCCATTGACTTACATTAAAAGCGAAGTAGGTTTTTTCCTTCTCACCCTGTTTGGAGATACGAGGTTTTGTCCCGACAGCATCGATTGACAGATTTTATGCTAATAACCTTGTCAGAACGATCCCCGTCAATGGTCGGCTTCGTGTTATTGACAGCTTCGACAGCCAATAGACGGGGGGGAAATTGTGACCGCCAGCACTTCGACCAATCGAACGACGCTGGTGGGGCGCGTTCTCGCCCAAGCCGGGCAACTCTGATTGGCCGAGCGGGCGAGCGGGCGGGGCGTTGCCTCCAGCTCGGTCTGGCTCGTCGTTTTCGCGGCCATTTTGCGAGAAGTGAGACGGGCGCCATGTCTGACGGAGATACTGAATGCTAAATAACAACAACAACAACAGTAATATCAGTCTGTTTTCCACACCTCCGTCTGCAATATCGCTCCACGGCAGCCGCCAGCCGACGGGACGTTAACAAAGCTGGGGGTCTCCTAGCTGTGCCCACAGCACTAAAATCTCATCTCCAGTGAAAGAGAGAGGATAATGGTGTCTGTTAACCGTCTCACTGTTGATGTTGTTGAGACGAGTAACCGTGAGTTTTTTCCAGACTAATATACAATCCTTCATCATCTCTCACAGCCAGCCAGCGCCTCCATCAGTGACTGAATGCCTCTCAGTCTTGTTGTGGAGAAAGGGCAGCTCCGTTTCCAACCATCATGGCTTTTGTGAGCCTCTTCTCCTGCCCCCCAAACCCCGTTCTTGACCAAAACATGACAGACTCTGAGCTGGCAGGGGATGAAAGGTCGAGTAACACTCTTATCTGCTTTTGTGCAGCGTTATTTCTACCTTTTTGTTCCAGTGGATGTTTTTTATTCACTCGTTTTCCAACGTCAAGGGCACTGGCTTCGTTCTGTTAGCTACACCCTGCTAGACAAACCAGCACAGACCTGCATATGTTGTATTTTGGATGCTGGTATGCTGGTCAACCAGCATGACCCTGCTGGGTGACCAGTTAAACCAGCACCAACCCAGCTGTGTTAATATAAAAGGAAAAAAAAGATGCCTCTTCAAGGGTTCTAATAAAGGGAATGGTTCTATTTGGAACCATGCGTGGTGTATATGTATATATAAAGCCATTTGCATGCTGAAATGGTTCTTCAGGTTGGTGGAGAACGCGCTGTATGGTTCTGTATAGCACCTTTTTTGAGAGGTTTTGTGCAGCAACCAAAAAGGTTAACATAACAGTAGAAGAACACTTCTTGGTTCTAGAACCATATACAGCACACTCTCCATCAATCTAAAGATCTGTTCCGCCATGCAAAGAACAGTTTAAGCATAAAAATGGTTCTGCACACCACCGAAAAGGGTACAAGGGTTCTTTTGCTTTATACAAGCTTGAGAACCGTTTTTGGTGCTGCATAGAACCATATAAATATTCTCCATCAATCTGAAGAACATTTTACCATGCAAAGAACCATTCAAGCGTGCAGATGGTTCAATTTGGAGTCCATAGTTCTAAATAGAACCGTTCCTTTTTACTAAGAACCCTTGAAGAACCATCTTCAGGGTAGTTCATTGCGACAGGCCTCCCCAAAGTACACCAAGGTGACCTTTTTTTGGTGCATGCGCTTTATTTTTTTTGCTAGCACAACAATCAGTTTTTATTTTCTAATTTAATATTATTATTATTATTATTAGAGACAGTGATCAGTGTGTGCCCACTGCTCATCTCATCACTCCTCCCTTTATCTGTTATCATTTGCACTCGTGGTAGCCCTTTATAATAATTATATACATTTACAGGGTGTTTTTGTGATGTGCTGGATGCCCCGCCCCCCAGTGCGAGTCCTGAAATGCCCCCTTTCTTGGCAAAAAGCGCCCCTCGTGCCAGGAAAGGCGCGTAGGAGTTCAGTGCTGAGTTTACGTGCTTTTAATCCAAACTAGGGATTAGTGCACGCCTTGAAAGCTGTAGCTGGATTGTCCTGTGGGGTTGCAGTTAATGAAGGGGCAGTCCACTGATTTTTTCAAATTTCTCCATAATTAAGTGGTTAGGATGTAAACAGAGTCGTTCAGAGTGGTTTGGTGTGAAACGCTCTGTTCTAGAGAAACTTACTGAGTCAGAACTGTTCACAGTGGTGGTGATAGGAACCAGACGTCCACCTCTAAAAGCTCCCTCACAGAAAGTTCCTACATGAAATGGTTATGAATTCACTGCCTGATGACTGAGACACTGTTTTATGATAGTTTAAAGATAGATTTGGCTTAAAACATACATTTTTAAAATCCATTCATGGTGGAGGGATACATGCAGGGCCTTGTGAGGCAAAATAGTCCCCAAAGTTAACCTAACTTGCTCTGTTTTTTCAGATTTGTCTTATGAGGCTTACACAAAATGGTTACAGATATGCTGCCTGACATTGACAGTTTGGCCTAAAATGTGTTTTTAAGTGTGTGCAGGGTGCAGTACCCATTTTTCCCACATTTTCCACTATTTTCCATCATCAACATTCCATATAAACTCAGAAGACTCGTGTAGGTTCACTGGTGGTTCTGGATAGTAAATAAAATGTCTATATCTGTGTTGTAGTCATGGCGACCCCTGGTTCCTATCACCACCACTGTAAAGACATCTGAACCATTTCACACCAAACCACTCTGAATCTCTCTGTTTACATCTCACACATTGAGTTATGGAGAAATTTTGAAAAAAGCAGTGGAGTTCCCCTTTAAATGTGTTCTGATTTTGCTGTAATCTATCAAGAGCAAGCTTGCAGTGACTCGACGCGTCAGGAAGGTTAAAGTCCGCACCTCTGGCACACACTGCAGATTTCCTTTCCCTGTGTTTACATGTTCTGCCACCGGCATTGCTTTCCTATAAGTAACTTGGAGTGATAATCTCTAAATGCTTCACTTAGTGGTGTCTAATTGTTAAAGGGCCCATATCCTATATATTTTTTGCATTTATTTTTTTCCCCTGTGGCTCACTGTTGACATGTGGGTTTACATACCAAAAATAATCATGGTTCATTTTCACAGGACCATTTTCCGACCTCTCTTTATCCCAGGCTGTTTTTGTTACTGTGCCTTTAAGACAGGAATGTGTAAATGACATCTGTTCTGATTGGCTGCTGATAGTTTATTTTCCGTATTTTGACTGGGCAGTGAACGGTATGTTTTGAAACAGTTTACACATTACCTACACATTTAATAAAGAAAATGGTTCTATATGGAACCATGAACGCTCAGAGAACCCTTTACATGATTAAAGGATTCTTTGCATGGTGAAATGGTTCTCCACATCGGTGGAGAATGTGCTGTGTATGGTTCTATATGGCACCAAAAATACTTCATCTGTGGTTACAAGTTTAACATCGTAGCAGTAGCTGAACCCTTTTCAAAAAAGGTTCTATATAGAACCATATACAGCACATTCTCCGTTGATCAAAAGAGCCATTTCACCATGCAAAGAACCATTTAAACATGCAGAGAGTGCTTTAAGTGTTCAAGGTTCTATATAGAACCATTTTCTTTACTAAAGAACCCTTGAAGAACCATAATTTTTAAATGTGTACTATGTAAACAGTTTCAAAACAAACCTTTCACTCCCACAGAAAATAAATTGCAAAAACAGTTTGTTTTGAATTAACTGTTTTTGTGAGGTCACAAACAACAAGAAAGTGGCTCTGTATTTAATTTGCACGCTTAAATGGTTCTTTGAGTGTTCAAGGTTCTGTATAGAACCATTTTTCTTTACCAAAAAACCCTTGAAGAACCATGTTTTAATCTTTTTATTTAAAAAATTAATGAAAAGTTTTTATGATATGGGCTCTTTAACGTTATCATGTGTCTAAAATGCTGTTCAGTTGCGAAACGTTGTCTTAGTGCGATATTTCACTGTGTAGTGGTTGATGAGTTACTTCTTGTTGAGGTTTAAGGCCCCAGAGTCATTTCTTCATGGGTGTGTAATGGAGAACAGGCGCTTTTCCCACTTTAATAACCGTGTAAAGTCAGTGTATGTGATGCAGCCGTCATTGCTGTGTTGTTAAAGCCCCCCGTGATGATTGTGAAATCACACCATCAGTCTTTCTATCTCAACTGATAGAAGAGTCTGAATATTTGTGGCTTCAGTCTGTCAGGGCTGGAAAGGCAGCTGCACTGTCAGTGATCTGGCTCTCACACCAAACCACCCTGAGCGAGTTTGTTTAAAATCTCCACCACTGAGTTATGCAGACACATTAAAATTCCTCTTTAATTCAGTAACAGCTCCATCGCTCCCTTTCATTTCTGCCCACGCTGTTTCCCAACCGGGGCAATTATTGGGCGTCTATTGATGCGACTCTCATGGTCTCCACTTCTTAATCACAGAAGGCTCCTTTTGTCCTGAATTAGCCGAATGAAGCCGCTCTCGCTCGGCGATACGAGCTGCTAATTAACCTACTTTTCACAGAATCTCAGATCTCTTCTGCTGTAGGTGGCAGTTGATCATGCTTATCCTGGTATTCTGTTCTTATCTCAGTGATAAAAAGTTGTTTTTAGCTCTCATATGAAGCTGTGATGTGTCCTGAAGGTCGTGTACATCTCGAGGCTTGCTGATGTGATGATGCAGCAGTTTTTTGTTTTAAGGTTAATGCCAGATATCGTCGCTGTCCAAAAAAAGCCTACATTTTTATTTTTGGACGTTATTTGAACACAGTGGCTGTGACAGCCTTTACACTGTGTGGACATTTCATGATGGAATTTCATAATAAAACTCTTTACATTTATTTACATTAGAAGTTAAGAATGTTTTTATTTCGAAGGTACTTGTTTTTCTTTGGACAGCGATGGTACCATATTGGCAACAGACAAACCCAACAGTAGCTGCCTGATGCAGTTGTGTTGGTATTAGCAATGAGAAAAAAGTGAATGTTTCATATTCATGATGTTATTAGCAGTCACATACTGTGTGTGTCTATATATATATATATGTATAAATAATTTTTCAAATTGTTAAAAGATGAAAAACCATAAAAATGGAGATACAAGGTTTTTTCCTGACAGCAGCTATCTCTCTCTCCCTCCCTCTCTCTCTCTCTATGTGTACATTTGTATATGTATGTATACACATATATACATGCACAGTATTACTGTACTGTAATAATGCGTATGTGTGTGTGTGTGTATATATACACACACATATATATATATATATATATATATATATATATATATATATATGTACATACACACAGTGTTACTATACTGTAATAATGCATACGCATTAATATACATATGCGTTAATACTGTAGTAATGCGTACGTATATCACACATACACACATTTTATATATCACACATTTTATATATCATGTTGTCGGAAACAAAACATATCTCCAAAATGAGAACATACTTTACTTTTAATGTAAGTCAATGGAACCAGACTTTTTTCCAAGTTGTTTTGTTTCTTTTGGTCCATATATATATGTATGTATATACATACATACATACATACACACATTCCTACAGTATAGTAGTACTGTGAGCTATTATAAAAAGCTATTTAACTGCATATTTGCTCAGAAAAAAACACTAATATTAGAGTAAATAGAAATAATATTAATAATATCAGTAGTGATTTTTTAGGGGCGTAATGATTCTGAAACCGAGATTGAAATTGTGATACAGACATCCCCCCCAACCTCTGCCCGCTGCCCCCCACTGCTGGTGCAGCCTGTTGCTCACCTATTATGTTGTTAATGTAACAAAACTCAGTTTCATTTCACAATAAACACGACAACACATAGATCAGGAAATTAGTATTCTGTTTAAAATCAGGGCTGCATACATTGATCTTTAGTGTTCTTCTCTTTAGTGTCCTAAATTGTTGGTGATTTATTAAAACCCAGAATGTTTTCCCATTTTTGCTTCTTCACTAAAAAAAATATGAATGGAACAGTGTCTCAACAATCAAGGTCTGAACTGAACCATGAATTTTTGAGATTCGTTCCACCCCTTGAGTTTATGCAGGCCATTTTCCCGTCCTCTCCTCAGAAGCCCTGTCATCAAATGCCTGGTTTATATAATCAGGTTAAATGTTAAATCAGACGTGCTGCATATTGTATGTATGTGTATTTGTGCTAATACCTATATTATATATTGTTTTTACTGTCAAAAAACAAACTTACTCCTGAGATTAATAGTTGTAAACAGTTTCCTGAGGAGCCAGAGACGTCTGCACAGTACTGTATGTAGATATTCACACCATGTTGTTGATGTTGAGCGTGAAGTAGCTGAACTCGAGTGTTGTTCTCATTTCCTTTATGTCCTGCTCATGAGTGCCTTGTTGATTTTTAAAGGGAAGACGGTGAGCTGGAGGACGGAGAGATAGACGACGAGGGGATTGGCATTGACGATAAAGAAGAGGAAAACAAGGTGGAACACGAAGTTGCAGAGAAAGATAAAGACAGAGAAAAAGCACGGGACAAAGAAGATAAAGCACATCGGCACTCCCATAAGAGACACAAGAAAGTAAAAGAGAAGCGCAAGTCTAAAAGAAGGAGAAGGGACAGACAGAAGGTACGCTGACCTCTCTCTTCTCTCAGATCTCTGTCTCTGTGTCTCTGGCTTCGTTCACACAGCAGGTAAAAGTGGCCCAAATCTGATTTTCTCACCAAATCTGATTTTTTTTGTTTGGCTGTTCAGATTATCTTTTAAATGTGATCTGTATCATCAGTCTGAACAGATCAGCTCCTAAACTGAGTCGCAGAGCAAAAGATCAGAGCGTCACGCTGCTTCACGGCTCGTCCAGAGGTAAACAATCACGACCGCCAACGAACGCCAGTCGCTCCCGGAGGATCAGCTTCATCTTCACCAGCATCACAGGAGCCATCATGAAGCTTCACTGACTGACAGCTGGGCTCATCACCCTGAATGTGTTTGAGCCGTAAAAAGGGCGCGGTCACTTCTTTGGTTCGCATCCTCGGATTCTTTAAACTCTGCTTTCAGACTTTTAACTGTTCTTTGATGCTGCAGCCTCGTTCTCCTGCAGCCTCGTTCGGACATTTCTTTAGAAATCTCTTCAAACACGGAGGGTTTAGATGAGTCTCTTCTGATTTTTGTTCAGAATCATCAGCCCAGATGTTTATGAGTCTCAGCAGCACGAAATGATGACGAATGTCGAGTTGGATTGCCGCAAAAGTCACATGAATTCCGATCTGGCGGTTCAGACTGAGTCACACTGCCGCAGATCAGATACGTATCGGATTTCAGTTCCACATATGAAAGCGTCTCAAATCAGAATTGAAAATGTCAGATTCAGTGTGTTTATCTGTTCACACTGACACACAGACACACATCTGTGTCACATAAGAAGGAAAAGATCAGATTTGGGCCACTTTTACCTGCTGTGTGAACAAAGCCTCTCTGTTCTCAGTCTCACTGTTCCACTCTCCCGTCTCTCAGCATCACTCCCCATCCAGCAACTCCAGCTCCGACAGCTACGACTCTGATTACGACCATCAAGACAGATCCAAGAGCAAGAAGAGCAAAGGCTCGTACCGCGACTACGATGGACAGTATGCACATGTAAGGCCAGTTTGTGTTCAGCTATTACGTTTACAGTTATCCACCCAGGCCTGTCACGATCATCACATTTAGCTGATGATTAATTGTCATATAAATAATTGCAGTTAACAGTGTAATTGTTTTGTCTTGTTCAATGTATGCAGAAGCCTGAAGTGGCCACAGTGGCTGATTAGCTCTCTTTCTTCCTGGCTGCTTTGTTTACGTCATAGCTAACACTGGCTGTACCAGCGTTAAATGATACCATTGTGTGCAAAAGTTTGAACACCCCTGGTCTAACGACATTTGTTTCGTTGCTTTTATAAGTGAAAATAAGTTACCACATCCCATGAAGAGAAAACACTTGTATATTTTTTCTGCACAATGTCTGACTATTTGCTGAGTTTATCATCTGTACATAAAATATGTACAGCATATTCATAAATATATACTCAAATGTAATCATACACCATAAAATATAAAGTGTGACCTACCTTTTACACAGGTGTGAGATGTAAACAGTGATTCAGAGTGGTTTGGTGTGAAATGGTTCAGATGTCTTTACAGTGGTGGTGATAGGAACCAGGGGTCGCCATGACAACAACACAGATATAGACATTTTATTTACTATCAAAACCACCAGTGAACCTACACGAGTCTTCTGAGTTTATATGGAATGTTGATGATGGAAAATAGTGGAAAATCTGAAATAATAAATTTTCTTTGGGGACTATTTTGCCTCACAGCGCCCTGCATGTATCCCTCCACCATGAATGGAGTTTAAGTTCTCTAAACGATCATAAAACAGTGTCTCAGTCATCAGGCAGTGAATTCATAACCATTTCCTGTAGGAACTTTCTGTGAGGGAGCTTTTAGAGGTGGACGTTTGGTTCCTATCACCACCACTGTGAACAGTTCTGACTCGGTAAGTTTCTCTAGAACAGAGCGTTTCACACCAAACCACTCTTGTTTACATCTTAACCACTTAATTATGCAGAAAACTTTAAGATTTGGTGGCGATCCCCTTTAATTTCAGTATCAGTGGAAATTGGGAATTGTTTTTAGCCTAGGTCTGGGAAACTGGCCCATGGAGAACAACAGTGTGGTCTAGCTTTTCCTTTCTTTATGTGATTATTCTGCTTAAGTCGCATCAATGTAATTAGAGATATTAATAAAAGAAATATATATGTTTACATAGTAACCATTTAATTGTCAAGAAAGTTTGGAAGCCTGGTGGAATTCCCCTTTGTTACAAGGAGTGTTTCAGCCCAGGCTGCATTTTGAATGAGACACAGTACAAGACAGCAAATCAGGACAGAGCTTGTTTACATACATCAATCTTGAAGGCACAGTAACAAAAACACTGTTTAATTCTCACAGATAGAGGTAAAATTAATTCTGACAGTTTTTGGATCATAAATCTTTAAGTGGACCTTATAACATACAAGAGAAATAAATGATAGAGGCTCTTTCATTAATTCTGAACACTCAAATAACCGAGATTTGGCAATTATGTGGTAATCATGACAGGCCTACATCGCCTTTCGTCTCTCCCACATCCTTCTTCTCATTTTCATGCGCACCTGCTTGTCTCTAGCACGAGCACGAACACAGCGGTGGCCATGGAAAACCACTGAGGTCATCTCAGCGCAGAAACAGTGAGAGCGAGGACAAATACGACTATGACGAAGACCAGGATGACTTCAGTGAGGAACTGTCCAAGTACAAACAAGCTAAAGAGTCCACAGTGTCCAGCCAGATCAGATCACCGAAAGAGCACAGACCCAGCCTGAAAGGACAGCAGTGTAAGTTCTGTGTGTTCACCTGTGATTGTTTAAACGATCTGCTCACCTTTTAGTTGCGGCCAAATTAAGCATTTAATTTATTTCAAAGCTCATTTATTTTAACGGCTGCTTATATCTTCGGCTTTGTTGACGCAGCAGGTAAAAGTGGCCCAAATCTGATCTTTTTCTTCTTATGTGACACAGATGTGTGTCTGTGTGTCAGTGTGAACAGATAAACACACTGAATCTGACATTTTCAATTCCGATTTGAGACGCTTTCATATGTGGTACTGAAATCCGATACGTATCCGATCTGTGGCAATGCAACTAAGTCTGAACCGCCAGATTGGAATTCATGCAACTTTTACGTCAATCCAACTTGACATTCGTCCTAATTTCGCACTGCTGAGACTCATAAACATTTGGGCTGATTTTGCTGTACCAAAAATTTAGAAGGCCCTAATCGCAAACGCTCGAATCGAAGAGATTTCTAAAGAAATGTCCGAACGCGGCCGCAGGAGAACGAGGCTGCAGCGTCAAAGAACAGTTAAAAGTCTGAAAGCAGAGTTTAAAGGATCCGAGGACGCGAACCAAAGAAGTGACCGCGCCCTTTTTACGGCTCAAACACATTTTGGGTGATGAGCCCAGCTGTCAGTCAGTGAAGCTTCATGATGGCTCCTGTGATGCTGGTGAAGATGAAGCTGATCCTCCGGGAGAGACTGGCGTTCGTTGGCGGTCGTGATTGTTGACCTCTGGATGAGCCGTGAAGCAGCGTGACGCTCTGTTCTTTTACACATGTGGGTCAGTTTAGGAGCTGATCTGTTCAGACTGATGATACAGATCACATTTAAAAGATGATCTGAACAGCCAAACAAAAAAATCAGATTTGGTGAGAAAATCAGATTTGGGCCACTTTTACCTGCTGTGTGAAGCCTGAGAGTCTCACAGCGTTTGTTATATGAGGGCAATATGACAATATTCATCATGATAAATTATGTCTCAGTGTGTCACGATATGCTTCTCTGACTATATGGTGGATATTGTCAGTACTTAAATGCTTTCCAGCTGCATGTTTGATTACAATTACAGCACAATTAGTCCTGTGTTTGACTGGATTTATGCTGCCTTCACATTTCTGTATAGAAAAGGTTCTATACAGAAGCGTCTGTAGCACATTCTTTATCAGTCTGAAGAACATTTTCATGATGCAAAGAACCCTTTAATCATGCTTAGTGCAGCACATTGTGTGAGATGTCGAATACACATCATTGCATTCATTGTTTTTGATCGTTTATCATGAATTATCATGATATTATCATCATTGTCATCATCATCTTTAACCGCTTAGTCCAGATAGGGTCGCGGCTGTCCCCCGCAACTTCCTCTCTTCCTCCAGCTCATTCCAATATTACCGTGGTATTACTGTGGTATTACATTTTTGAGGGGCAGTCGTGGGCTGGAGGTTAGGGAACCAGCCCTGTGACCGGAAGGTCGCCGGTTCGGTTCCCTGAGCTGACAGTACGTGACTGAAGTCTCTTTGAGCAAGACACCTAACCCCCAACTGCTCCCTGGGTGCTGTGGATATGGCCCTGGGGGTGCTCACTGCCCCCTAGTGTGTGTGTTCTCTAGTGTGCATGTATGTGGGTGTTTCACTGCACAGATGGGTTAAATGCGGAGGTCTAATTCCTCTTTGTGCAAAACACAGTTGGCTAATGGTTCTGAATTCAGTTCAGTTCAATATTGCCAACCCTCTAAATTGTTGTATTCATAATCTTTGAGAGTAATTTTTCAAAATATGTTTGTTTATCAGATCCCAGAAAAAAAGAAATAGTTTTGTGAAAACCTTTTGATGACATATTATGGTATTACAACCTCACCCTAACCTCTGCTCTCATTTGTCCCAGTTGGTGGGCTGCGAGGCCGAGGCCGTGGTGGAGGGGGATTGGGCCGGGGGCACGGCGCCCTCAACAAGAACAAGAAACTGAAGAGCAAGACCTGGGGCCGAGGACGAGGCCGAGGAGGAGAGCATGGAGAAGGTGGAGACGGAGCAAAAGTGGTGAGGTTCTCAAGTGGTCTGTGGTGATTTCAGTAGTAATAGATTTATACACCGGTCAGGCATAACATTCTGACCACCTCCTTGTTTCTACGCTCATTGTCCATTTTATCAGCTCCACTTACTATATAGGTGCACTTTGTAGTTCTACAGTTACAGACTGTAGTCCATCTGTTTCTCTGATACTTTGTTAGCCCCCTTTTACCCTGTTCTTCAGTGGTCAGGACCCCCATGGACCCTCACAGAGTACTATTTGGGTGGTGGATCATACTGACGTGGTGGTGGTGTGTTAGTGTGTGTTGTGCTGGTCTGAGTGGATCAGACACAGCAGTGCTGCTGGAGATTTTAAACACCTCAGTGTCACTGCTGGACTGAGAATAGTCCACCAACCAAAAATATCCAGCCGACAGCGTCCTGTGGGCAGCGTCCTGTGACCACTGATGAAGGACTAGAGGATGACCAACACAAACTGTGCAGCAGCAGATGAGCTGTCGGCTCTGACTTTACATCTACAAGGTGGACTGACAAGGTAGGAGTGTCTAATAGAGTGGACAGTGAGTGGACACAGTGTTTAAAAACTCCAGCAGCACCGCTGTGTCTGATCCACTCAGACCAGCGCAACACACACTAACACACCACCGGCACGTCAGTGTTACTGCAGTGCTGAGAATGATCCACCACCCAAACAGTACCTGCTCTGTGAGGGTCCATGGGGGTCCTGACCGTAATGTTATGCCCGATCTGTGTATTTCAGTTACTATGTTCTTGTGATCCTTGCAGGAAGCCAAAGGCCAGCAAACCTTCCAGAAAAAACGTCCCATCATGAGTCAAGAGTTCATCAACCAGCACACAGTGGAGCACAACGGGAGAAACATCTGCAAGTATTTTATTGAGGGCAGATGCATTAAGGTAAATCAGTTTCAGTGCCTGGTCAGGGTAGCATGTTGGCTAACGTTTGGGTTTTGCATATAAGTGATTATGATTTATGATTATCTCTGTTCAGGGGGATCAGTGCAAGTTTGAGCATGACAACGTCATCCCAGAGAAGAAGAAAGAGCTGTGCAAGTTCTACGTCCAGGGATACTGCACTAAAGGAGAGAACTGCATTTACATGCACAATATCCTTGAATGTGTGTCAGGGACTAATCATTACTTTAGAATAGAGTTTGATAAGGCTTAAAGGGCACTTCCACCAATTTTTAAAAATTTGCTGTGTAAATCTGTGGTTGAAATGTAAAGAGGATCATTCATTCATTGGTGTGAAATAGCTGATTGTAGAGACTCAGATTTCTTTACAGTGGTGGTGATAGGAACCAGGGGTTGCCATGACTACAACACAAATATAGACATTTTATTTACTATCCAGAACCACCAGTGAACCTACACGAGTCTTCTGAGTTTATATGGAATGTTGATGATGGAAAACAGTGAAAAAGTGTTTTGAGAATACTGTTCAATCCAAAATCTTCTCAAAACTACACTCTTAAAAAGAGGGTTCTTGGAGTGTTCTTTAGTAAAGACAGTGGTTCTTTATAGAACCATAGACACTCAAAGAACCCTTTGCATGATTAAAGGGTTCTTTGCATGGTGAAAACATTCTTCAGATTGATGGAAAATGTGCAGCAGTTGGTTCTATATAGCACCAAAATGGGTTCTTCTTTTATTACAAGCTTAACATCGTACCCATAATAGAACCCGTGCAAAGAACTCTTTCTTTATAGAACCATGAACACTCATTCTTTGAGTGTTCATGGTTCTATATAGAAACACTTTCTTTATAAACAACCCTTGAAAAACCATCATTTTAAAGTGTGTGTTGTGAAACCATCTCAGTCATCAGGCAATGTATTCATAACCATTTCATGTAGTAACTTTCTGTGAGGGAGCTTTTAGAGGTGGACGTCTGGTTCCCATCACCACCACTGTGAACAGTTCTGACTTGGTAAGTTTATCTAGAACAGAGCGTTTCACACCAAACCACTCTGAACCACTCTGATTACATCTCATCTATTTAATTAGGCACAAATTCTGAAAAATTGGTGGAGTTCCCCCTTTAAGTAGGTATCGAATGGTGTTTTTTCCCTCTTTTCTTGTATTGATCCTTTACATAAGCCTGCAAATGAATATCCTTGTAAGTTCTTCCACACGGGAGCGAAGTGCTACCAGGGAGACAACTGCAAATTCTCTCACGATCCTCTGACTGAGGTCACCAAGGAGTTGTTAGACAAGGTAAGTTTCTTTGATGTAAAACGACCCTGTCACTTAGATTCCCTTACATTTTTATGTATGTTTTGTTTATTTATTTATTTATTTATTTTCAAGATCTTGAACACTGATGACGATCATGCCCACGAGGATGAGCTGGAGCTGGAGGACCTGAGGAAGCAAGGCATAGCCCCCTTGCCCAAACCACCTCCAGGGGTCGGGCTCCTGCCGACACCTGGCTCGGGGGGCCTGCAGGACGGGAGCAAGAAGATCCCCTCTCTGTTTGAGATCAAAGTGCAGCCAACTGTGGACTTGGCCCAGAAGATTGCTTTAAGGTACCTCTAGGCCTGTAATTGCCCAATAATAATATAATTATAATTAATAATAACAGTATAATTGCGCAGTAATTTGAGCTGATCGCAATTATGTTGAATTTTATTTTGAAATGACTGTTTTTATATGTTGGGATGAGGCAAAAGCATGTAAATAAAATACAGCATAAAATGTTCTAACGTCTGACTGATGCAAAAACAGCTGTAGAGGGCAGCAGTGAGCAGTGTTTGTTCTTTCAAGCTTGAGCTGTTGTCATTAGTTAAGAGTTTAAGTTTTGACAGCTAGTTAATCAGAGGGGTTTCCACAGTTTTTCTGTATTTCTGCACAATTTAGTGCATTCAAAGTGGTTTGGTGTGAAATAGTTCAGATGTCTTTACAGTGGTGGTGATAGGAACCAGGGGTCGCCATGACTACAACACAAATATAGACATTTTATTTCCTATCCAGAACCACCAGTGAACCTACACGAGTCTTCTGAGTTTATATGGAATGTTGATGATGGAAAATAGTGGAAAATCTGAAATAATAAGTTTTCTTTGGGGACTATTTTGCCTCACAACACCCTGCATGTATCGCTCCACCTCAGTAACTGCTGTGCTCAAATATGTTATCTGACTGCGTAACTCACAGATCACAGCATGTTAAATAATCTTTGCACCTTATTCCATTACCTCATGCTCAGAAATGAGTGCTGTGTCGGTGCTGCACTGTCCTGTCTGTTTACTGTGTCTGTCTGATTTAATTATTGTATTTATTGTATTGTTTCTAGTTTAATTTTTTTATTGCACATTTATGTCTGCACGTTTGCACTTTGTACTATTTTGTTCCATGTTGCACCGTGTTGGTCCTGGAGGAACGTAATTTCACTCCACTGTGTACATAGAGGGAATGACAATAAAGCCTCTTGACTCCTCCATGAATAGATTTAAAAAATAAATTTTAGGCCAAAATCTTCTTAAAACTCATAAAACAGCATCTCAGACATTAGACATCGAATTCATAACCATTTCATGTAGTAACTTTCTGTGAGGGAGCTTTTAGAGGTGGACGTCTGGTTCCTATCACCACCACTGTGAACAATTCTGACTCAGTAAGTTTCTCTAGAACAGAGCGTTTCACACCAAACCGCTCTGAACCGCTCTGATTACTCCTTAACCAGTTAATCATGCAGATTTTTTTTAAAAAATAGGTGGAATTATTTAGAAACTTTAATACATTTTAAAAACAAATAAAGCAAAGACAAATTATTTACATGGCCGTTAATCATCAAATAAAATTTCATGGTCATGACAGACCTCAGTACATCTCTTTCTTTGGGATGAATTCAGGGATTCAGACGTGTTCCCGGTTAGCTGATGAGAGATGAGCCCTTGCTGATGACGCTTGTTTTCCTTTTCAGGCCCAATTTCTACAACAGTACGTCTCCCCCTCCTGGACAGTTCTCCGGTGCTTCAGAGGACATGCAGGCTGGTAACATGATGTCCCCAGGCCACAATAATCATCCACCACCTCCAGGGTCCCCTGGGTCCATGGGTTGCCCTTCCCTTCACTTCCCAGGCCCAGGCCTTCCCCAGAGCCCCCCAGGACAACCACCGCCTCAAGGCTTTGGGCAGGGCCCTTCCATTCCACCTCCTGGACTCCCAGGTCCACACTTTCATGGCAACCTGCAGCAAATGAACCATCAGAATCCTCAGATGAACCAGCAGGGAGCATCACTTCAGTCTGTGCCCGACACGCAGATGAACGTGCCCTTTAAAAAGATGGGTCAGATGCCCTCCGAGTTTTTCAAAAACTTGTTCAGCAGCCAGTCGCTTGGGCTCGGAGGTAGGCCTCAGATTTGACTGCTTTGTTTACATTTCAGAAACATAGGAAGATAATAGCTGATGGACTTAAAATAATGTAAAGGCTGAACGATAAATTGTTTTTATATCAAAATTGCAGTTTGACTGAGTGCAGTTTTCAAATCTCAAGAGCTGAATATTAATTATGTCCTACATTTTTCAGTGTCATCTCAACATTTGAATTTATAGAAAGTAGTCACATTTAAATCGCAGTATTGATCAAAAAATTGCAATTACATGTTTTCCCCTAATTGTTCAGCCATATTCAAAAGCTATACACCGATCAGGCATAAACTGTTCTTCAGTGGTCAGGACCCCCATGGACCCTCACAGAGCAGGTACTGTTTGGATAGACACAGCAGCGCTGCTGGAGTTTTTAAACACTGTGTCCACTCACTGTCCACTCTATTAGACACTCCTACCTTGTCGGTCCACCTTGTAGATGTAAAGTCAGAGCCGATCATCTGCTGCTGCACAGGTTGTGTTGGTCATCCTCTAGTCCTTCATCAGTGGTCACAGGACGCTGCCCACAGGACGCTGTTGGCTGGATGTTTTTGGTTGGTGGACTATTCTCAGTCCAGCAGTGACACTGAGGTGTTTAAAAACTCCAGCAGCACTGCTGTGTCTGATCCACTCAGACCAGCACAACACACACTAACACACCACCACCACGTCAGTGTTACTGCAGTGCTGAGAATGACCCACCACCCAAATAGTACCTGCTCTGTGAGGGTCCATGGGGGTCCTGACCACTGAAGAACAGGGTAAAAGGGGGCTAACAAAGTATCAGAGAAACAGATGGACTACAGTCTGTAACTGTAGAACTACAAAGTGCACCTATATAGTAAGTGGAGCTGATAAAATGGACAATGAGTGTAGAAACAAGGAGGTGGAGCCTGATCGGTGTATTTCAGTCACAGTGAAGGTAAGCTCAGGGAGGAGTTAACATTGTACCATTTCAGTTGTTTCCCACAGGTCTGAAATAAACCTTGGTAATATCCTAATAATTACGGATATCCAAAGTTAGTATTCTTTTTTACTTAGTTGGTTAATCAAATAAGGCATTTAAAATATATTCAGTATAAAATATGTTTGGAAATTGTTAAAATAGGACAAGATATGCTTGGTTGGCTGTCTGTATGCCCTGGCAAGCGCCCAAGTGTACCTTATGTGTGGGAAACACTGATTTGCATGATGCTGTTGGGCCCTGGATACCTTTAATTTGTTATTGACAGTTCTTTAAAAGCTTCCATGTGTCGCCTATAATGGTCTCTCTTTTCTTCTTTTCCTCAGAAGAGGGACTGTCAGGGTCCATGCAGGACTCCCAGCAGAGCAGTGCCGAGTCCCACGGCATGCAGGACTTCTTGCCTGCTGTCCAGAAGGCCCTGCTTCTACACCTGAACCAAAACCAGCAGGACTCCGACTCGCACAGACCTGACGGGCAGCACCCTGTACCCTCTGGCAGAGACAAAGGTTAGGAAAGAGAGAGAGAAGTCGGCATTCTGTAGCGGTCCAGTTCTGAAATGTGTGTTGTTTAGGTGTCCCCTCAAATTCATGAATATCAGTCATTCCAACTGAAGGGGAATTTCCTATTCCCGAACATCAGAATGAATGACAAGTAATGTTTTACGTGAATGACACATGTTCTGTTGTTGTCCAGGCATTTCATTTATCACAGCATGTGTAGAACATGTTTTATGTTTGTGGGTAAAATGTAACTATACTCTATATGATATGGGGTGGAACTAGGGCTGGGCGATAAAACGATAACGATAATTATCGCGAAATAACTTTTCCTCGGTAGAGCGATACGACATGTTCGATAAATGTTCGATATAATACACCATTCTCACACTTCCACGTTCAGCGAAAGCCTTGGCGTTTTCTACTGCAAGGAAAGCGACACTACTCTGCTGTCGCCAGGAGAGGGCGCACTTCCGAGTTTTTCTACATGATTAGAGAGGGAGGGGGCCACGAGAAAGATGAGTCTTTAGCAACGGCTGAAACGCGGAGTTATACAGTCCCTGTTTGAGCGGAGCGACAGGCGATCTGTTCTCCTGTGACCGAGTGTGAGTGACGAGGTCAGTGGTGTAACTGTACTGACCTACAGTGAACTCACCTCTTTACTAACATCCTAACAGCTTTAGCAGCATTAAATCACAATCCTTACAACTACACTGGATCAAACACGACACAAAAGCACCGCTTTCAGTTTAAACGTACCTAAAGGAGGACTCTGTTTGTCTGGTGTTGATATTTTGCGGTTCATCACTTAAACTACTACGATAGTATAGAGGAATCCAGTCGTCTAGCTGGTGTCTGAATACTGTGATGTCATTTGTAGCGGGGTAGCCGAGCGCTCGGCACCAGCTAAAATAATCTGTTTTCTTTCTTAAATTATGACTATTAGAAAATAGCCATGCTTTTCCAGCTGGTAAAAACAGCTCAGAAACTTTCTCCCACTCTCCCATTACAGATTAGTGAAATGTTCCACTGTTTGCCGAGTGTTTGTCATGATCGGACCATAAGTGATAGTTTAAAACCACAGTTAACCACCCAGGAGCAAAATCAGTCTTCAAACTTGAAAGAAATCATGATTTGACGTTTATCGCGGTATGTATCGATATCGAACGATATGAATTTTGTTTATCGTGATAACATTTTTGGCCATATCGCCCAGCTTTAGGTGGAACATACTTCTCAGTAAAATGTGATGTGAAATATAATGTGAAATGTTAAAATTTCACTGGAAAGTTTCATTTGGGTTTATAACGATGTGTGTTTGGTTACTTGTTTGTGATGTTAGCTAATTGGGCCAAAACACACCGGGAGCCGCAGCTGAGGTGGATGTTTTCTGCATTCACCTGTGCATTTGTCTCTGAATTTGACAAATGTCCAGTTTTATTTTGACAGATCTAATGTATGTATGCACTGTATTTAAATTGAAACTTATTTTAGTCACATAGGAAAGAGAGAAGAAGATGGCATTCTGTAGTTGTCACTTCGTTTCTGAAATTTCTGACGTGTCGCCTCAAATTTGGTTTCAAAAATATCAGTAACTCCTCCTGACGGGCATTTTCTGTTTCAAAACATCAGTAGTGAAGTCAGTCAGATGTGTCAGAATGAATGATAAGTAATGTTCTATATGAATGACGAATGTTATCAGGGCATGTGTAGCACATGTTCTAAATCTGTACGTAAAAATGTAAGTATACATCAAAAATTTAGTATTTATCAAAAGTAGGTTTGCACTGCTGTACACAGTGAACAATGATATATCCGACGCTGCTTTGCATGCACAAGTCCAGCTCAAATAGCTATATATGGTAAACAACCTCTCTTTAAAAGTCCCCAGTAGCCTGTGAAGCATATGAAGTTGAATTAAACTCTGAACTTTAGTAGAGACACATAAAAATATGCAGTTCCATTCTAACATGTGAGAATTAAATTTAAAGATTCAATAATTAAATTTTCACATAGTATTTCTATTCAAGCATGAAGTAATTATTTAATAGTAATCAGTTAATAAATTCACTTAAAACTAAATTAATACTAGTAAAAATGGCTCCTTCCATTCAAATGAATTGGGAAAGCCATGAATTCGTACTAGTGTGAATTTGTATGTGCTAGAAAATAATTCGTAGTAAAATGCAAAATGTAATTTTCCACTTACTTTTCCACTGGAATATTTTGTTTGGGTTTATTACAATGTTTAATTGGGCTAGAACACACTAGGAGCCACAGCTGAGCCTTTAAACATTAGAATGGATGTTTTCTGCATTCACCTGTGCAGTTTTCTTTGAATTTGGCAAACGTCAAATTTCATTTTGACAGCCATACTGTATATATGAGTGTACTATATTTAAATTGAAACTTATTTTGGTCACATACATGAATGAGTTATAATTAGGGGAGTAATAATTGCACATTAAATAAGGCATTTTTATGCATTTTTATGTGTAAAAATTAATATTTTCCAGATGAAACCACAAACTGGTATTCCAGTGACGATGAGGATGGCAGCAGCGTGACCGCCATCTTAAAGACTCTTAAAAAACAGAACGAAATGCTGAAGACTCAGCAGCCTCAGCCCAAGATCCAGCTGGCTGGCGTTCCCCCGGCCTCCCTTGCAGACCCCAGACTACACAAGGAGAGGCCTCTGTCTAATGACCCCCGGCTGAAGGTGGACCCTCGACAGCACGCTTCAGACACCAGGAAGGACGTGGATGCTGTTCACGACCCCAGGTTGACCCGAGACCCTCGCAAGATGAAGTCGATGGAGGCTAACTCCTCCAAGGTGGACCCTCACCGTCACCCCCATCCAGTCTCCTCCACATCTCAGAAGCCTTCTGCAGGAGAGGAGGACGAGGACGGAGAGAGGGAGCTGAGAGAGAAAGCTGCCTTGATCCCACTGGATCCCAGTCCTGGAGCCACGCCGAGGGACCCTCGATGCCAAATCAAGCAGTTCAGCCACATCCGGGTAGACATCCTCCTTCAGCGGCCAGCGTTCGCTCACAGTGTGGTGTGGGCCCCAGAGGACCTCATCCCCCTGCTGATCCCCAAACAGGAGCCCTCCATCAACCTGCCTCTGCCACCCCTCATTGCAGATGCCCAGCTGAATCGTAGCCTTTCATCACCACCGGACCACCCTCCCTCATCTTCGCTGGCCCCTCCAGACCCTCGTCTGGCGGCCGCCCGCCTAAAAGAGGGTGCGGCTAGACTGGGTAGCCCCCCTGGCAGAACTCTCGAGTCTCGTCTTAGTGCAGAAAAGCCTACAGACCCCCGCACCCACAAGGCATTAGATCCCAGGGTCAGTCGGTCTGTAAGCCTGGATTCCAAGCTGCCCTCCATGAGAGACGGTTCCTCTGGTGTCGGGATGATGGACCCAAGACTGCAGCGAAGTACCGCTGGAACAGCTAGTCATCCAGCTGCTTCAGCAAAGCCTGATTCTGAGAAGCTACCACCGTACGCCCCTCGTCTGGCATCTTCCAGTGGGCTGGAAAGCCCCACGACGTTGCTCGGGGGCATCAGTCTGTACGATCCTCGCAACCACGCCTTACTCTCCCCGAAACGAGAGGGCGAGGAACCCCCGAAAAAGCTGGGCATCCTGAAGCAGCCACAGAAGCAGGAGAGCCCCCCACCTCCACAAGCCTCGTCACCACCGCAAGTAGCTGAAAAGAAGACTGACGAAGACGCAGACAGGAGCTCTGACTGTCTGCCAGGTCAGCCCATGCCCGCGGTAGTACCTGCGCCTGCCTGCTCACCTGTCCACGTGGCAGCACCTGCTATGCATAACTTGCCCATTCCGCCGCTGGCAGGGCTGATACGCCCGGCTTATACGGACCCTCGACAAAACAGGCAGTGCGGACAGACAGCTGGGGCGCAGGAGGAGGAAGAGGAAGGGGACAAGGAAGAGGACAAGAAGGACCGGCCACTGAGGGACGTGTTTAAGACTTTTGACCCCACGGCCTCACCATTCTGTCAGTAAACATGCTGTGGCGGGGGGGGGGTTCACGTTGCGGTGTTCTTATCATACTTTTGCTGCACTTCTTTCAGCTAAAATTAGCCAAAAGTCTTGCTTGTTAATTTTTGGTCACATAATGAAATCACAAAATAATAATCACAAAAACACTGCACAGGTAAGGCCCCCACTGCGCTCGCAAGCCATCGTTTCAGTAAGTTAGTACTATTACCAAGCAATCATGGTGCTGTCAGCAAAACCATGATGAACTGAGAGGGGAATTCCACTTATTTTTTCAAAATTCAGTGTGTGAAGACCTTAAAAAGCTCCTTTTTTTTTAAAAGCGCCCATACAATGGAAAACAATCTCCTTTGCTCCCACTTTTTTAAAAAAGGAATATGATGTAAACATTGTTAAAGTTTCAAACGGTACCGCTTAGACCCCATTTGGACAGTCCATATATGAAAACTAAGCTACGGACAGGCTGTTTTGAATTCACTGATTCTGTGATGTCACAAGAAACAGCTCATTTACATACATCCACTTGTCCAGCAGAAAGCAGTTTGGCTCCACCTGCTCACACTGATATTATAAGGAGTGGATCCAAGTGCTTTTTAAATGACGCAGCCAGTCAGAACAGAGCTCATTTACATATATCAGTCAAAGGCACAGTAACAAAAACAGGCTGTTTGATATTACGAGATAAACAGAGGTTGGAAAATGTGGATATGGCCTTTTAAGTTGTGATTTATGCTCCTGCAATCTCTATTACTGTCTCCATCACAACTGTAAAGCCGGCCTTACTTTTGATCTGGATGGTCTGCACTGAAAAACACTCATGACGTAGAGGTACTCGACTCGAGGCACCTAGCGCGCAAAACAATGTCTCTCCCATTGAAAACAATAAAAAAATATGTGCACAATGTGAACCGCCCTCCCCAGCACCTTCACAGAACCTTTATTCAGTCTGCACTTCACTGTATATTTGTCATCTATTTTCGTATTTATTTATATTTGTTTTGTATATACACTTTTCATTGCCACATGGTAACAGATTCTTTTGTTTTCCTGTGCATAATGAAAATATATATTACAGTGCCACATATAGTTATAGAGATTAGACACATAGTGCTTGAAATTTACTCAGAATGCTGCGTAACACTGTTGTTCTCAGTAAATTTCATGGTTGAATCAGAGACTTTGCGGGTGTACAGATGTAATTACAGGTATATGAGGGACACTGTGCGATCGAAAGGGATGTGTCGTGGTACATGGTTAAATATAAATATCTTAGATCAATGTATTACATGAAGCTGTGGTAAGATTATAACGAACATTTTTACAAAATAATACTGTGCTAAGCTTGTAATTATTCAAAAGTGTATGTGAACAAAAGGCTGATATACACAAACGTTTATTTCCTTTTTCCCCCAGAAGCACATTTTACAATCATCTGTTACATTTTGTTCTGAAGAGAGAGTAAAATCAAGAAGACACCTAACGTCTTGAAATCTTTTAGCACGTCCTTATTTCACAGTCCACATTTTGGTTATTGATTTTATTGTGTTATATGTGTTGTTTTATTTTCGTATTGCTGTACTGATTTGTTTACCTCTTGAAGAAAGGACATCGATAGATGTCGGTCGTGTTACTTTGCCTTTTTTTTATTGTGTCTTAAATAAAATGAAAATGATGTGAGTTTTGAAATAGTTTTCCATGTAGTGTGTGTGTTATTGAAAGGTCTGAACGCTTTATTTATGTCTCTCGAGGACACTGATGGGTGGAACAAGGCTGGGTGCCGCTGGTTGCCGTGAAGTCTTGCGGAGGCCTAGGTCGTCAGTGTCAGGATTCAGCTGCTCCTGTGCTCTGTGGATGAGGAGGTTCTTTTTCCACTGAAAGCAAAGGGAAGCTGCCTTTGCTGCTTCGGAGTTTGGCTCAGGTTGTCTCAAGCCCTTCCACGTTACAAAGAGCAATGCAGGAGGTCAGTCAGATACAGAGAGTGCTAGTCAGAATGATGTCTTGTATGGGAATTAAAAAAATAATAGTACAGTTCTACATGTGTGTGCAACAGTTGGTCTCATAGAGTGAATAATACTAATGTGGGACACTTTCAAAAGATTACATTCTCCATTAGTTTTACCGTGATGCCTATGTTTTATAGCCTAGCAGTATAACTATATAAAATGCTTAAACACAAGCCAAAGCAAATATAGAAAACACAGTTATCCCGTTAAGTGGACACGGTGTGGTAGTGAGTTGTGATTATTCGACACGTTTCATTTTAATAATATGAAATAACATCTGGTCCTGGAGAACTACCACCTTGGAGAGCTCAGATCCAACACACCTGGCTCATACGCTGATCAGGCATAACATTACGACCACCTCCGTGCTTCTACGCTCATTGTCCATTTTATCAGCTCCACTTACTTTGTAGTTCCACAGTTACAGACTGTAGTCCATCTGTTTCTCTGATACTTTGTTAGCCCCCTCTTACCCTGTTCTTCAGTGGTCAGGACCCCCATGGACCCTCACAGAGCAGGTACTATTTGGGTGGTGGATCATTTTCAGCACTGCAGTAACACTGACGTGGTGGTGGTGAGTTAGTGTGTGTTGTGCTGGTCTGAGTGGATCAGACACAGCAGTGCTGCTGGAGTTTTTAAACACCTCAGTGTCACTGCTGGACTGAGAATAGTCCACCAACCAAAAATATCCAGTCGACAGCGTCCTGTGGGCAGCGTCCTGTGACCACTGATGAAGGACTAGAGGATGACCAACACAAACTGTGCAGCAGCAGATGAGCTATCGGCTCTGACTTTACATCTACAAGGTGGACTGACAAGGTAGGAGTGTCTAATAGAGTGGACAGTGAGTGGACACAGTGTTTAAAATCTCTAGCAGCACTGCTGTGTCTGATCCACTCAGACCAGCACAACACACACTAACTCACCACCACCACGTCAGTGTTACTGCAGTGCTGAAAATGATCCACCACCCAAATAGTACCTGCTCTGTGAGGGTCCATGGGGGTCCTGACCACTGAAGAACAGGGTAAGAGGGGGCTAACAAAGTATCAGAGAAACAGATGGACTACAGTCTGTAACTGTAGAACTACAAAGTGCACCTATATAGTAAGTGGAGCTTACTATATAGGTGGAGGTGGTCATAATGTTATGCCTGATTGGTGTCAGATGCCCCATGAAGGCCTTTAGTACTTGGATCAGGTGTGTTAGATTAGGGTTGGAGCTAAACTCTGCAGGGTGGTAGATCTCCAGGACCAGGATCGGAAACCCCTGACTTCAGATACAGCTAAAACAGAATCCCAATTTTAAAAAATTTAATTTTGAACCATCTAATGTTGGTATGTTCATCCAGAAACTTTAACACAATGTAAAGCATATGGAGGGTCAAGCGTACGTGTCCGACTTTATCATTTGTCCTATCAGTATTCACCCTAACTAGATGAGCTTCATGAACAGGAGTGACCAGAGCAATATTACTGCTTAACACTTCTGTACTCAGAATTGACCAGTTAGAAACATGATGGTAAACATTTATTACCTTGATACAAGCAGTTTCGGCAGCTCGTACCCCCTGGATAACAGTCTGCAGCAAGTTCTGTGCATTTTTCACCAGGATTTCATCGGACGATTTGCACCCAGGAGTCACTGCATTGACACTGGAGAGACACCATGCACCCCTTGGGTCACATGAGATATTAGCATGTTTGTTTGATTAATGGCTTGTTTGTTGACAACTCTGTAGAAAAGGTAAAGAGTTGCAGTGAAGCTGAGACAGAAAGAATGTCAGGTATGTCAGCCCCCTAAGCAGTGGATGATGAATGTATCTTCATATTTCTTACCTGGAGATGATGGTAAGCTGGTTGGTGATGGTGACAATCTGCTCTCTGATGATGGACAGCTCTTTAGTGCAGTGTTTGTCCAGGCAGTGGTCTGCTATGACCCTCACAAACTCCGTGATGGACTGGCAACTGGAGATGACATCTTTAGCCGATGCAACAAAAGCATCCTTGCTCTGCAAGCGGAATGTGGAAAACTGCTATCAAATAAAAATTGAACGATAAAATGGATAATTTCAACGGTTCAAGTTCGCTTTTACCTGAATCGGGCCTTTCCTTTTCAAGTACTGGGTCATATGATAGATTTTATCAGCCATTTCTTTGGTCACCTTGACAATCTGGTTACCATGGACGTCCCATCTTTCTGCCTCACGCTTCAGGAATAGTGATGTGTAAGTAAGAGTTGGATCCACGGAGCTGAAGACTGGCATTCTGACACTCTTCCTCTGAGACAACGGTTCCTATGTAATGCACAAACAAACCATTTTTATGGGATGTGAAAATATTGAATTTTTCAGTATTCACTGTCAAATGTTTGTTACCATTTTAGGTTCCTGGTTGTCCACCGGGAGGATGTTTATAGGCTTTATTTGTTCTGTGATTCTATGCGTTGTTTCCCTTGGGATGGTGCATTGTGCTACATCCGTCTCCAAGCCACCACTGGACTCTTTTCCCTGCAAGCAAAGCTTAATCTGCTCCTTTGTGACTTGAAGAATTTCATCAACTTTGTACAGTTCTGCTACAAGGTAGTGTGCTTTAGCTGACCAGCATTGTATCTGAATGTCAAGACTTAAAGTTTCAAAGACAGTCTGGGTCTCTACCATTAACCTGGCCCTGCTCACTATTTCTGACATCTGAAATAGAAGATGATCGTTAATGAATCTCAGACTGGACCGCTCTCGTGGATCTCTGATGAAATTAAAACAGTCTTGGACAGATTCTGTGGCAGTTTGAACGTTCCTCAAGAGCAGTTCAGCAGTGACCTCGAACTGTTTGCGAGTCTCCTCGGCTTCCGAGGAATCTTCTTTTACTATTAGTGAACAAGCCAAAGAGACAGTATTTTGAATTGCTGTTACATATTCCTCATTAACTTTGCTCAAAAGACCAGAAAGTGCCCTCATTTTTGCCTGAAGTTGTCTCTGTAGGAGCTCTGTTCTCGCAAGCGTTAGGACACCTGATTGGGAAATGGTACCAAGGTCCTCTGCGGTCTGTAA